GGAGCGGGAGGGGCTCATCGAACCCGGCTGGCCACTGGTGCTGTCCCACGTGGCATCGTGCAGGTGAAGTTCATGAGAAAAGAGGAAAGTCAGCCTCCTTTGCATTCTCACAGCCACAAGGTGTCCACAGTCACAGGATCAGGGACAGTGAACGAATACACGCATTCTTCTGCTTCCTTTCCTCCTTCTCTTTGCGTTTCCCAACAGATTAAAATAACTCAAGTTCAGCTTGGAAAACAAAGAAACAACGGTTCCTAAAATACTGTTACCCTTTCGGCGGGCTGCACACAGCACCATCACGAGGACGCAGTCATAGCGAAGTGGCTTTGCTAGCAAGGTTTGCTTATTGGCATGACTACTTTGAATTTAACGATATAAAAAAAACAAAGACTGCCCTAACCAGTTTGGCTCAGTGGATAGACTCTATCCACTGAGCCAAACTGGTTAGGTCAGTCTTTGCTCTATCCGATAGAGTAGGGGTGTCGAACTCAATCAGAGAAGGGGCCAAAATCTAAAATCTAGCCTAAATCGCGGGCCGAATGGTTTACTGAACAGTCATAAACTGTCATTGTGATGGAAACGCAGCGGAGTGCAGTGATGACAGCGCGGTGTGGGCCACATTGCAAGGCCTGGCGGGATGGATTTGGCCCGCGGGCCTTGTGTTTGACACATGTGCAATAGAGCATCAGCCTGCAGACTGAAAAGTCCCAGGTTCAATTCTGGTCAAGGGCATGTACATCCCCAGTAGGGGTGTGCAAGAGGCAGCTGATTGATGTTTCTCATCGATGTTTCTAACTCTCTATCCCTCTCCCTTCCTCTCTGTAAAAAATCAATAAAATATATTTTAAAAAAACACACACAAAAAAAAACCCAAACAAAAAAACACACAAAGACTGTATTATGGGCTCTATTTTTTTAAAATATATTTTATTGATTTTTTACAGTGAGGAAGAGAGAGAGATAGAGAGCTAGAAACATCGATGAGAGAGAGTCATCGAATAGCTGCCTCCTGCACACCCTCCACTGGGGATATGCCCACAACCAAGGCACATGCCCTTGACCGGAATCGAACCCAGGACCCTTCAGTCCGCAGGCCTACGCTCTATCCACTGAGCCAAACCGGCTTCAGCTATGGGCTCTACTTTTACAATTGCCATGCTTTCTGTGGGGTCATCCTAAACATAGTCCATTTCCTGGTTTTTAAAATCACCTTTGCAAGTTACTATGTAATGTTCTCCTTTCATAAAAACAGCTTTCCTTTCCCCAGGTTTCACTTGGTCTAATGATCTGGTTAACCTGCAGCATCTGACTCCTCAGCATCTCAGGCCGAGTGAGCATCACCTTTACCTGGATGGCTGCAGGGGCCTCCTGACTGGCCTCTCTGCCCCCCGCCCCCAACCCGCTTGGGGCTCCTTCTTCAAACAGCAGCCAGGGCTGTGCTGAACCACAGACACCAAAACATGCTGGTCCTCTGCCCGGCGTCTGACTCAGAGCAAAAGCCAGTGTTTGCCCAACGGCCCGAGGCCCGAGTGGCTGGTCCCACGTGTGACACTATGCTCTGCCCTGTGGCCACGCTGTCTTCTTACTGTTCTTCGAACGCATCACCCATTGTCCTGCCCTCCGCCTTGACTGCTGTTTCCTATGGAAAGGCACCATTGCTTCTCTCGTCTCCTTAGTGTTGGTACTTGAATGTCACCTTCTCACTAAGACCTCGTCTGCCCACCTTATTTACAAGCACATTCTGTCCCCCGTCACAATGAGCAATAGAAAATACTTATTGAATGAGTCAATGAATGCATGCATCCCCAGAGTCTAGAGCTATTGACACTGTTATGCCCAGACTTCGTGATCCCCAAGGACCACCAGAGAGCCGAGTCCGATGCAATAAACAAAAGAGCCTGTACCATGCTAACAATGGGCTGCTCCCACTCATGCCGGCAGCATGGCGGAAGAGAGCGAATTTCTCCCAGTGCAGGGGTTTTGAGGGCTAGGGATAACTCCGCCCTATGGGGCGGAGTTGGGAGCTCATCCTCGCCCCGCCCTGCCCTTTCAGACACAAAGTAGGCTCTTATGCCTGTTGAATGTCTCTCCCTGTGATATGACCATGAGCATATCACAGGGACTCGGAAGATTGCAGGCTCTGCCTCAGCTGACTTGCAGCCTGGGCTCTGCCACATCCTAGTGGTATGACCTGGGCAAGTCACTTAGCCTCTCTGAGCCTCTCTGTTCTGTCATCTTCAAACTGGGGGTGAGAATAGCACCTCCCTGATAAAGCGGGGGTGAGAATTAAATGAGAATTCAGAAAAGAAGTCTGGTGCATGATCAATACACTTGAGCTAGGATGCTGCTGATGTTGCTGATGCTGCTGATACTTTGACTCCTCATCCCAGGGAAATCACTTCTACATCCATCCTGACCCTCAGGGAGGCAAAAATACACACCTTAAGTGAAAACAGCGTGTAAACCATACACCACTCTACAGATGGCGAGTCTTCTCACTGCCCCGGAAGACCAGGTGACCACGATGGGCTCTGAGTCAATTGGGGAACAGTCCCAAGTCTGAAAAGCACACTGGCTCCCGCAAGGCTCCCTTCTATGGCAGGGCCCCTTCACATGGCCCCACAGGGGTGGGGGAGGGCTGTGGCTGTACTTCCAAGTCTTCCTCTTCCTCCTCTCCCCTCCCCCTCCTCCTCCTCCCCTCCTCCTCCCCAGGCTGCCAGAACTTTGCCGGAAGTGAGAGCTGCACTCGGCCCCATGGGTGGTTCCTGCACCTGGGCTGCTCCTATTGTTCAAACCATTAAACTGTCTGCAAGCAGGTTATTTACAGAGATTTCTCTTCCTCAGTCCCTATTTGCCCTAATGCTCATTTTCTCTCATCCTCCCCACCGAGAGCCTCTGAGTGTGATAACATCCGGCTGTGCAGGGCACCGGCCTCGCCTGGCACAATCCTCTCCAATCCCTGGAAGGCACAGCTCTCACCTATGCAGCGGGGAGGAAGTCAGGCTTCTGCTCCAAGCCAGCAACCTCTCTCTGAGGTCATGCCACCGGGACACAGAGAAATAAACATGCTGTTTCTCCTTTTAAATGGCATTGGACGAGAAGCCCGTCTTTCAGACAGACCATGGAAACGTGCAGTCAGGTATGATTGACTGTGAGTATTCCTCGCAGGAAAAATAGCTCTTAATTGCATGAGAGAGAAAGGAGCCAGCTGCTGCTTTCATGATTATTTAAGCACCCATCCACCATCAAAACACGCCTCATTGTGTCATTACCACTGAAATGTGATTGCTGCTACAGTTTCTCCTCGCCTCTCCTCTATGCAAATTGGGGAGAAGAAAGAAACTCATCAGGCACCCATTTGGTTTCTAACTGTATTGTTTGCAGATAGACGCGGGCAGTCTGAAAAGAGTCTAGCCCGGGAATGTCAAGCTGACAACACTTCTGCTCTTCAATCGTTCTCTCTGAAAATATAATTTTTTACGTATCCGTAGAGGCAGGCCTGACTGTTTTATCAGTGATTTAGTCAGAGACCAGAGGCCTGGTGCCCCAACCGTGGGCCTTGGGGAGCAATTAAAACCATTTTTGGTGCCGAAGCTGGTTTGGCTCAGTGGTAGAGCATCGGTCTGCAGACTGAAAGGTCCCAGGTTCGATTCCGGTCAAAGGCATGTACCTTGGTTGCGGGCACATCCCCGGTAGGGGGTGTGCAAGAGGCAGCTGGTCAATGTTTCTCTCTCATCGACGTTTCTAGCTCTCTATTTCTCTCCCTTTCTCTCTGTTAAAAATCAATAAAATATATTTAAAAAAAACAAAACAAAACAAACCATTTTTGGGAGAGTCCAGTTCCTAGAAGATTAAAAGAATTCATCAACTTGAAAAAAATTTTGTTCCCACCTTTTCTGCTGACAGCTGGTGTTTGTGCTGGGGGCCGATGATTAGAAATGATTTGTACAGCATTTTATAGAGTTCAAAGGTTTCTGCCTGTGGCGCATCATATGACATTCCCAGGACCCTGTGAGAGAGGTAAGGGCAGTTTTCTTTTCTTTGACTTAATATGTGTGTAGTGGTTTTTTTGTTTGTTTGTTTGTTTTTGTTTTGTTTTGTTTTTAAATTGATTTCACAGAGTAAGGGAAAGAAGGGAAAAGAAACATCAATGTTGAGACAGAATCATTGATCGGCTGCCTCCTGCACACCCTTCTCCTTACACTGGGGATCGAGCCCACACAACCCAGGCATGTGCCCTTGACCAGAATCGAACCCAGGACCCTTCAGTTCACAGACTGGCACGCTATTCACTGAGCCAAACCAGGTAAGGCAAGGGCAGTTTTCTAATAGTTGTGACCTTTAGAGGATTGAGGACTACTTGGTTTCAAAAGAGTTACAACAGGAAGGCACTTGCTCTTCTGGTTCAAAAGGTTTTAGTTCTGGGCCCAGGGAGGAAAAACCAGTATTAATAATAGCCAACACTTACCACCTGCGTGCCTTGTGCCAGCACAGTGCCGAGTGCTTCGTGTGTACTGTGTGCACTATCTCTTTTTTGCTTCCAAATGCACCCCTCTGAGATATGTCCTATTATCATCTCCAGGTTACAGAGAGGGGAATGAAGCTCAGAGAGGCTGAGTAATTTCTCCAAGGTCACACAGTAATTAATGGTAGAGGATGGGTCTGGGTCTGATTTTGAGGTCTATGCTTTTGACCTTCAAGCTGTACTGCTTCTTCCTACTATGGATCTACCTACCATGTGCCCATGCAACAGATAACAGCACACCACAATAAAACAGTAATCCTATCGGGTATCTCTCCAGGACCAGGAGCTGTAAATACACTATCGTATTCAGTCTTTACGACAGCCCTGCAAGGGAGGTATCTAGTATGCCCTTCTGCCTACCAGGAGAATGACATTCAGCAAGGCTAATTGCTTTCACATTACAGAGTCAGTAAGTGGGTGGCAATGGTATTTAAACCTACACCTTTTCTACGTGTTATTTTGTTTTGTTTTGTCTCCTCACTCTTCCTGCCTAAGGCACCCAATGCTGCGTGATACATTGGACGAAATATATAGGTGTGCACACAATATGAGAGAATCCCTATGCACAAGAAGCAGGATGCTGTTAGTATACTTGGAGTGGTAGGTGTTTGGTTTCATTCCCCAGCCTGCCTTGCAGCTAGGGTGGCACTGTCCAAGCCAATGAGATGTTAAGGGGAGAGTCTACAGTGGACTTGGATGGGTTCTTTCAAAGCTTCTGCTCTCGTGATAAAAGGGAACATTTCTGCTGTCAAGGGCCTTCTCCCATTCTTCCTTCCTTGAACACAGAAGACAAGGTTGGATCTGCAGCAGAAATCTTGTAACCATGAGCACAAGCCCAATGAATCTCAGCGATGGCTGCCCTCATATCAGCGAGCTACTGAACCAACATCAGTAACTATCTACCTCTGTACTTACATAAGCTACTCTTAATTGGGTGTTCTGCTACCTGCAGACAATTACAACCTTACCTGCTACAGAAAGAAGACTAGTGTGAGCAGCCTCACTTCCCTTCTACCTGGCAGTTACGTCTGATTTCTTTGTCTATGCCAGCTGATTTTTCCCGCCTTCATAAAGAGAGTAGCCTGAATACGTTCAGATATCTTGGTGGTATGGACATGTCCCTCCAAGTACCTGCTGTGCCCACAGCCCCTTCTGGGGAAAGGCACTATCGGTTCTTTACACGTGCCAGGTGACTGTGATTTTCAGGCCAGAGCTACTTTTCAGCCAAAGCACCCATCCCTGAGTCAGTGAGCAGCCTGTGAGGTGGTTAGGCACACGTACTCTCCCCAGCCATGGCACTGTGTAGATGCCCACTGGCTCACCTATGAGACAGAAGCTGAGTGATACGAGAATGCAGAAGCCACAAGACAAGTCATAGCTAAGCAGGTAATATGCATCAAAAAAAGTCAGGAAGAAGCAGAAACCGAGAGATAGAGAAGAAGAAAGTCAGAGTGCAATGGCAGGAGAATCCTAACTCTAGGGCAGGGAGCCACCAGGGCTGCTACTAAGGGAGCAATAGATGGCCAGGCCCCTCCCCGCTGGCCTTTTAGGTCAGTGATCGACAAACTTATTAGTCCACAGAGCCAAATGTCAACAGTACAACGACTGACATTTCTTTAGAGAGCCAAATTTTTTAAATTTATTATTATTATTATTATTATTTTTTTTTTTTTTTTTTACTGGGAACTAAGTAGATGTAGACTTTTTATTGTATTTCTTGTTTTAGCTTTTTTGCTTTTGAAGTACTGTACATAGAGTATAAAAGAATAAAACTTTGGAAATGCTGTAATATTCAACAGAATTTGGTAAATTATGTGACGTGAGAAGTACAAGAGATGAAGAGGTCCAGGTGACTTCTAGGTTTCTGACTTGGTAACAAATCTAGTCATCCTCTACAACTAAAAAGAAAAGAACATAAAAAATATGTGTTATTAACCAAAGCATGATGTTAAACAGTAGAGGAAGACAGTTCAGTTTTTAGACATGTTGTACTGGAGGTATTGTGTCCAACAATCCAAATTTTTTAAATTTAAACTTCTTCTAACGCCACTTCTTCAAAACAGACTCGCCCAGGCCGTGGTGTTTTGTGGAAGAGCCGCACTCAAGGGGCCAAAGAGCCACATGTGGCTCGCGAGCCGCCGTTTGCCGACCACGGAGCTAGAGTTCTGCGGAACCACAGGAGCTGCAGTGATCCTGACGGATCCATGTCACCTAGCTTACTCCCCAGATTCGCCCACTACTGCCCCTTGGGTCACATTGATCCTGGTTGCCTGAAAGAGCTTAACCAACACGCGGGCCACTCAGGGCCGCCATTCCAGTCATTGTCTCCCCGGGTGTGCACATACACACCTGTGGAGCCCAAAGGGTATAGGCAGGGCGCCTGTGGGCCATATTTGGCCCCAATACATGTCTCATTCAATTCATATGGTATCCTAAGAAAATGTACATTGGATGCCTTTCCATGGGGTATACTCCTTCAGTTTGTCATGGGCCCTACCCCTCTCCATGCCTGACACCTGCCTACTCTGCACATTCACATTACCTGCCTGGTCCCTGCAGGCACTTGAGTGGCAGCCTCTGGCAGGAAGTTGTGCAGGTAAGCTGCCCCTGAGTTCCCGTCAGCTGAGTCCCCAGGCAGCTGCAGGCCCATGCCCTCAAGGCAGGGGATGAAGCTACGGTTTCCGGAGTCTTCCCTGTTTCTAAGGACTGAGAGAGAAAGAGAGAGAGAGAGAGAGAGAGAGAGAGAGAGAGAGAGAGAGAGAGAGAGAGAGAGAGAGGAAGAGAGAGAGAAGGAAAAGGAGAAAGGAGGGAGAGAGAGAGGAAGAGAAAGAGAGAGAGACAGAGAGAGAACTGTTGCCACCCCACAGACCACAGAGCTGGTATCTGTCGCTTCATCATCTACTTGATTCTCCACCGCAGTATCCGCTGCTCCCAACTGCCATCGCCACTTCTAATCACACCCAGCTCTCCACCGCAGCCTTCTCACTCCCTGTCTCCTGTTGCTTTTAGTGTGCCAGTCCTACCGCATGTGCGTGTGGTTGGCCTCCGTGGTCACAGCCAGTTGGCGGGTGCTTTTCCTTCTGCCCAGCAAACCAGGAATCCAGGCACCATGTGGTCCCTGGGACAGAGGGCTGGGCCCTCAGGGGCTGTGTTTTACTGGCAATCAGTTCTGGTTTTGTTTTCCGAAGATTTTGGAGTCCGGGGGGATTCTGGAACCCCAAGGGATCTGGAAGATGTGGCTTGTCTCTGAAAATAACAGCCTGAGCAGAGAGTGGAAGGAGAGATCACCGTGGACTGTTATCTGAGGTGGTAAACAAGCTTTCCTTACAGGGTGGGTTAAACAGACAAAGAGAGGATGACAAAGAACATCCAAAACCGCAGGGGAGTCAGCCCCAGCTGAAGGGGGATGATGGTGCAGGGCATGGTGCACACACGCAGGAGTAGGTGTGTAGGTGCCCAAGTGAATGCATGAACACGTGTGCACACATGTGCACATGTGTGTGTAGAAATATTAGCACTGGAGAGCTGTGGAAATAAAGTCAGATAGGAACAAACTATGCAAAGTCTTAAAAACTAGGTGAACTAATTCAGAATCATATCAGTGGGAAGCTTAGAGCTATCGGAGGAGAGAGAGATTTGGGCCGGTACCCATCTCGGTGATGCGCCAAAGGCCCAATAGAAGGGAAGAGGAAAGCATCCGGGGATATCCTGGAGCATCATCCACAAGCCTAGATGTTTGGCTCAATTTGAAGGGGTGGATGGAGGAACCAGTCAGTGTTGATTCCAAAGCTGTGGGATGGAAAGGCCGGGCGAGCTGAGAGATGATGAGATCATGGGACATCTCATTCTTCAGACAGAGGCCTGCCTTCCTCACTTGCATGTGTCTGCCTATGCGGTTGCCAGAACAGATCCACATCTGGGGTGCCCTGGGGAACAAGGACAGGCCTCTCTCTTACCCACATCCCTGGGGTTCTTAGCCAACAAGGCCATAGGACCAGAAGCTCCACTAGGTATCCGATGGCTGCTGGTTTCTCAGTGAGCGTTCTGGCCAGAATGAGACACATGCAAACCAGTTAGTTCAAGACCAGAGCTCAGAAGCTCATTGCTCGTTGTGACATCAGAAGAATGCTCACATTCTTTTGTGGGTCCTGGCCAAATTTGGCCTCATCAGCACACTGGCAGGCAGCGAGCCAAGTTGGAAACTGACCCACCCCAGGAAAAAAGTGAAGGGCAAACGATCATTCCACTCCACATCCCTGATCTCTATGTTCCAACAACTTGAACTAGCAGCAGCCCCCAAACCACATCAAGTGGTGAGGCCCCAATAAAGGCAATTGCTCTGAGGCTGTTCAAATTATTGCTGGGAGTTTGAGGCCCTTTCTGCATCCCAAGCACCTAAATGGTGGCTCCCTGGGAAGGCAGCCTTTGGCATAAACTGTCCAATTCTCACAATAGTTTTAAAGTCGCTATGGATTTTAGACCAACAGCTACCTCTTGGGTCTGTATCATCCTGGATGCTAGCATCTAAAACTCACTGTCACTAGGCCACTCAGTTCATTTAGGGACATTTGGCTTTTCTCTGCTTCCAGGCATTCTGGAGATCCCAGGGGGGTCCACACAGCCTGTAGCATAGTGAGTGGGTATTCTGTGCACAGGTTTTGTGCACAGAGAGCTAAGCTGAAGTCCCAGCTTTGTTTCTACCAGCGGCTCTGATGTTGGGAACATTAACTAATTTTTCTAAGCTGCAGTCTCCTTATCAGTAGAATGATAATAATACCTAGTTCAGAGTGCTTTTGTGATGAATAAATTATATGTAAAGGCTGTGTTAGCTATTGCTGTGTAACAAATCTCCCCTCCCCCAAACATGGTGACTTAAAGCAACGAGAAGCATTCATTATCTCAGTTTCTGCGGATCAGGAATTTAGGAGTGGTTTAGCTGGCTGGCTCTGATTTGGGATTTCTCATACATTCAGTCAGATGTCGGCTGGGGCTACAGTGATCTGAGGACTAGACTGGGGCTGGCGGATCCAATCTAAGGTTGCTTGCTCTGTGGCTGACAAGTTGGTGCTGGTTCTCAGCAGGAGGCCTCGGTTCCTCTCCACAAGGCCTTTATAGGACTGCTAGAGTGTCCTCATCACACGCCCGGTGCCTGGCTTCCTCTGGAGCAATCAATGCAAGAGACCACGGCAGAGGTTGCAGTGCCTTTCATGACAGCCTCAGAAGCCAGATGTCTCCACTTCCACTGCACTCTATAGGCCATACAGGCCAGCCTGATTCAACAGGGGAGGAGTACCAGGGAGTACCAGGAAGCAAGCATCATTGAGGACTGTCTTGAATGCTGACAACCACAAGGGCTTCACAGTACCTACCTAAGTGGTAGCTGCTAATAGGATTATTATTCGCTTCTTATCATCTACACACACACACACACACACACACACACACAAACACGCACGCACATGCACATGCGCACACACAGAACAATTCCTTTCCCTTTGCTCTAACGTGTCCAGTCATTGCTGTTCTCTCAGACCTCGTGGTCTGCCAGTCCCAGGGTGATGTCAGAAAGGATAGCCTCACAATCGTGACTCAAATACTCGGACACTTTTTCCTCGTCCAGTTCTTTCCCCATTTGTATTGTATAATTAGAATCCTCCCAGGCACGTCTTGATTTGTCTGATGACTTGAATGTCACAGTCAGCCAGGCTCTGCAGGACGTAAGCAATCACCGCAGCAGGGAAGATGCTGACTTGCAGTTTGCGGTGCAGCCCTGCTGGGCAGAGAGTCGTGAACCAGGTCACCCCTGGGACAGCAGCAGAGACGGCGCTGGAAATGAAGTGTCCATTAAAAGGTCACGTAGAGAAGGGTGACCTCCCTCGGGCCATGCTGAGCAGCAGCAGGCCAAGCTCCTGGCTCCCTGGAAGCCACTGTCACCGTGACTTTCCCTGTATCGTCAGAGCAGATGCTGCTCGCTCCGTGAGGCTCAGGGTGGCTCGTGATAGGATGGCTGAGGACATCTGAGTGGCAGAAGTTGCCAGTTGTCCCCCAATGTCATTTCTTCCCGTATTCTACAGGAACAGAACCCCTAATCAACAGCTGAGAACAAGGCACCCCAAAAGAGAAACCATATTTGTCAGGCCCCCTTCATAAAATTCTGGCCAATGGGACATAAGCAGAGGTCATAATTGCAACTGCTGGAGAGGAACCATGCCTTTTTTCTCCTCCTACTCCTTCCTGCTCGCTGGGATCCTTATGAAATGACTGGACCCCCAGGAGCTGTTTTGGACCAGGAAGTGACCTTGGGAATGGATGCCGCTTGCGACAGAGCAAAAAGGGAGAAGAGACCTGGGCCCCTGACTCAGAGTGCTCCCTTGCACCTCTGGGCTGCCTGCCTCTAGATTTCTTGGACATTAGGTTTTTTAAAAAGCCATTCTTACTTTGTTTACTTTCTTTTTCTTTGTGACACACCTAACCCCAGCTCACAGCTTCCTATTGCAGTGGCCATGATTACAGCTCTTGCACATGGTCTGCCACCAGGGTACACCCCGGCCTGCTGGAGGGCAAGTCTGCAGAAATGACCCCAGTGGGAAGAGGGTAAACCATCCTTTATAGTTTCGCGTAACACTGGTTGAGCTGCCCTACTATGTAGTACAAGGAACTGTGGAGGAGGTCAAGCAGTTGTCTGCAGAGTTTACTGTGAGTGGGCCTTCCTGACCACCATTCTGCTCATCCATTTATGTTATGAAGAACTTCCGTATGTGAGGCATGATATGAGGTGTCACAATGACAACATCCCATCTAGCAAACAGAAAGGACCTGTGAGGCGCGGTACAGAATGGAGGAGTTTTATAGGCAGAAGAGATCAGGACAAGGAAGTTACTACCCTGTTTCCCCGAAAATAAGACAGTGTCCTATATTAATTTTTTCTCCCAAAGTTGCGCTAGGTCTTATTTTCAGGGGATGTCTAATCTTTCCATGCGCTAGGTCTTATTTTCGGAGGATGTCTTATTTTCGGGGAAACACGGTAGCAAAATGTGAATAACTTCGGGTACGGCCACCTTCCTGTAGGGGGCGGTAGGAGGTCCACCAGGCAGATTACCTTACTGGTGCTGAGCAAGTAACTCCACGTTGACTGGTTAAGATCACATTCCTGGGAGAGGCTGAAACGGTAACCAGGTTAGGTATTAAGGCTTGGTTTGGGGACATGGGCTGAGCACAGGTGACTCTATTGGGGGCCTCCTGTGCCTTTTTAACCCTTCCTTTCTCAGATTCAAACAGAGAAAACTGGTATCACAGCCAGGATTCCCATTATCTGTTACAAAGGGGTAAAATTAAAGGGACTATAATTTAGTTGAAAAATATATATAACCCAAAAGGTTGCTGAAATTCAGTACTGCTCATACATTAAAGCCTGTATATGTGTGTGTGTGTGTGTGTGTGTGTGTGTTTAATCTATATGGTATGTTCACACACAGGCACACACAGATTTAATTATTTATATAGAAGAGGGCATATATCTAAGGGGCTTACAAACGTGTGTATTGACAAGTGTATATTTTAATACAGAACAATATAGCCCCTTCTTCTCCAGCTCCAGACTGGTAATTCCTACAAAAATATTAAATATAGTAAATACTTATTTTCCTGGTTTTCGCAGTCATTGCTGACTTACACCTGGATCTCTGAAACAAGCCTGTGCCCTAAAACAAGAACAGGTGAGGCTGCTGGCAGGGGTGCTGGGGAGCCAGCAGAGCAGTGAGAATCGATGAAAAGGTGGGCACTGGCAGCTGATTCCTTGCCAGCTCTCCCTGCCACCCTCCACTCCCTTGGGAAAAAACCCTGCATATGGAGACTCAGCTACTCCCTTCTTTGACTCCATATCCGTAGGAAAGACATAAAGAGGTTTTAATTATGTTTTAACATTCAGTTGTATTCTAAATTTCTCAGGGCAAGGAGCCATGCAGAGCCCAGTTGGACGATGAAGTTGTAATCAGATCATCTGGTTTGTCTGCCTCCAGCCAGGCTGTCACTTCCCAGCAATGAGTTCCCTGGAGCGTTCTGGCTTGGAGTCCAACCCCTGGGACACTGCCTCGCTGGTAAGTAGACCATGAAATGAGGCAGAGGAGAGCTTGCTCTCGCTATGGGTTCTTCTTTTTCCCCAATGTAGTTCCATCTGCGGTTTGTGTCAGTTCTAATAAGCGTAGTTAGAAGGCAAACCATCCCGCCCTCCAGCCAAACCTTAACAAGAAGAGAAGGTGGAAAACCGCCTTTGTGTTTTTTAAATTCCTCGCTCAAAGATAATTTTCCATTGATTTTTAGAGAGAGTGGAAGGGAGGGAGGAGAGATAGATAGATGATTGAGATAGATAGATAGATAGATAGATAGATGAATAGAGAGAGACTAGAGACATATTAATTGGTTACCTCCCACACGCACCCTGACCCAGCCTGAAACTGAGGTACATGCCCTTGACCAGGAATCAAACCCATGACCCTTTGGTCTGTAGGCCGAGGCTCTAACCACTGAGCAAACGTGGCCAGGACTATTAGGTCCATTTTAAAACACATCAAACCTTTTTCAGAAAAGTAATTTAAACTGTAGTGGAACCCTCACCATCCCCAATCCTTCACCCCATTCAGAGTTTTTGAACACCAGTTGAAAAGAGCAATGCATCAGGGAACCCTGACCAGGCCCAGCCCTGATGCTAACTAAGCAGCCGGGAGGGCAGGTCACTGTATCCCTGTGGCCTGTTCCTACGACAATATAATACGCGGATTTCCCATCTAACTCATGGGTGTTGCCACTGTAAGAACCAACTGAAGTAACAAAAGTATTTTGGAAATACACAATGCAAGGCATTTAGCACTGCTGGCTGGTTTATTTGAGTTGCTTGAGAAGATATAGAAGGAGGGGAAAGACGGATTTCTGTCAAGCTGCTCCCCATATCCTTCTGAGCAGACACAGCCTAATTCTTCTCTCTCCACACAAACCTGTTTGGCTCTTGCTCCAGCTTCTAAATACCTAAGGGAAGGAGATGCTCTCCCACCCAAGTAATTTATTCCCAGTCTAGAAAGCCTCATTATCTGGGAGTTCTTTCAAGGTCTACCCACTGCCCCTTGCAAGCAAATTAATTGCCTCTTCTTTTGATCTCAGAGGAGATAGAGATGAGCTCCTGCACCAGGGCCTGACCTTGAAGGGCTTTAGATTCTTCCTCAGCTGCTGTGTTTTCTTCTTTCTCTCTCCAGTGGAGGAAAGGCAAGAATTTATTGCATATGCAGTTAAAAGAAATGTCAATTGATTTTAGGTGCAATAGGAAAGACAATCCTGCAAGAACGGAAGACTCAGAATGAGGCTAAAGGCATGCCTGCAACCAACGTACATGCCCTTGACCGGAATCGAACCTGGGACCTTTCAGTCCGCAGACCGACGCTCTACCGCTGAGCTAAACTTGCAGAAGTAAGTTTCGGCGCAAAACTTACTTCTGCAAAACGTTTTATGCAAACTTAAAGCAGGGAGTCAACAAGACAGGGAGAGAGGCAGAGGACAAGCAGGGAACTCTGAGAAAAGGCCTCCTGCTGAGAAAAAAAATCCCATTTTAAGAACAAATTAGTTTGTAGCCACATGGGCCGTTGTGTCGTTGTGTCGTATGGAGTTGAGTTTTAGCCTGGCCACCTTGAGGAGCAGCTTGACAGACTGCAGGCTGCCTGCTCACAGCCCAAAGCCTCCCGGCAGAGGACACGGCTGGGCTGGATGTATTATAGATGTGGCCCCCTGCACCCTGACTCACTCAAGCTCCACCTACCCCCCTGTCACTCCATGTGCCGGCAGGTGACCGGGACTTGGCGGGCCCCGCTCTGGCTCTGGCTGGAATTCCTTCATCATGTTCCTGCTCCCCACAGTTTCAGGGGCCAGAATGAAGTGTGGAGAGCAGGAACATGATGTCTTTCCACGTTCCCCATCCGGAGGGGCAGGCTGGCCTGAAGCAGACAGCAAGCAGCATCTCAGCGGGCAAAATGGGTACTTGGAGCCAATGGGTGTGATTAAAAGGCCCAACTCTCTTCTCTTCTCTCCCCATTTCTGGCGCTGGTCTGCCAAGCCCATCTCGCGGGGAAATGGCCCTGATGACTGTGTGACATTGAGGAAAGAATAATAGCACGCTTCCCCTTCTCTTGTGAAAAGACGGTGTCAGGAAGGAGGGAGAGATGGAGGGCAGGAGGGGATGCAGCTGACACCCGCAGTCGCTGGCTTGCTATCTTTGGATGCTGTGAGGCAGGCAGGCACATGAAGCCTCGTGCGCTTCTGCTGGGTGGGGGTGAGCATCTGGGCAGACAGTCAGGGAGCTGGCAGCTGGCGGTGATTCAGAGGCACAGAGCTTGCTAAACCAGCGGCGTCATAAGACGGGTGCAGCACCGGGAAGTGGGCAAAGGATGGCTCATAAGGAAGCAATTGTGAAATAGGACCTGTTTAGGTTTGTATCTGCTGTTATGACTGAAGAGGACGGAGTGCTCGGCACTCCACGGCCGCATTGCTGGCTTCATCTCACGCCCAGTGTAGGCGGCCCTGTGTCAGGAACAAAGCTTAGACAGACAGACAGAGGGATGGACGGACACAGGATCTGCATGGCCAGAGCCTGAGCTGCAGAGGCCCGACACGTCAATAATTGAGTCAATGCAAGGATCAGAAGATGAATGACAGAGAAAATAGCAGCATGGCAGAAAATGTAGACTATGAAAGGGGAAATGTATGGTCTTCTACCTCCCCAGTGAAGGCATTTTCATCTGGCAGATGCTTTTCTAGCGCACGTATGGGCGCGTGCACGCGCGCGCGCGCACACACACACACACACACACACGTCTATAAAATGTTCAGTGCACCCAGAATTTCATACTGCTTTTTCCACTTGGCCTATGGATCAGAATTTCTCAGCGTTACTTCATGCACTTATCACTGATGACACCTATAAAAGTTTCCACCTAATGGGTCTACTATAATTAACTAAACAATTTCTCTATTCTGTAAGTAGATTGCTTTCTCCTAAAAAAAAAAAAAAAAATGGTGTTATTGAGATGTGATTGGTATAGAATAAGTTGCACAAATTTGCTATGAATCAGAATTTCTCAGTTTCCCCAGGGTGTGGCTTTGCGGACACCCCTGGGTTCAGTTGACAATAATTAAGGAATGCCCACGTGCCTTCCCAGGGGGCCCTCTACAAAGAGCAGTTTTAGGTTCACAGCAAAGTTGAACAGAAAATACAGAGCGTTCCCACATACCCCTAAAGAAACACACCCCCCTCCTGCCCCGCCACAACACACCACCTCCTGCCCCACCGCTAACCTCCTGCACCAGAGGGTGGATTTGTACCAACGGATGAACCCACATGGATGCATTATTACCCACCAAAGTCCACAGTCAACAGAGAGGGTGCAGGGCAGGACTAAGTTTTCCTTGACCTTCTTGGAGTCGCTGGCTGGGCCTGGAAATTAAACTGACAAAGACAGATGAACAGGAGAGAAGCATGCATGCTTACTTAGTGCAGCACGCACGCTTACTTAGTCCGAGTTTTACATGAGGTGGGAGCCTTGGAAAGGAAATAAAGATTTCCAATCAGAGGTGAGCGTTCTTATGCTGGTGTGATGAATGTGGAGGAATGGTCACTCCGACGAGGTAAGTGCAGTCAACCGGGGGAACTGAGCAAAGCCTGTTTGTGAGGGCTGTTCTGAAACGACGCTCTTTTCCTCTGGGAATAGAGGCCCCACCCACATGAGGGTTTTATGGCCTGTTTCAGGGTTGAAGGAGGGAGTCAGAGTGACCTTCCTGATTTGGCTGTTTTCAGATTAACATAAATATGCCAAAATGACATATTTTGGGTCTACAAGGTCCGAATCCCCATCAAGGGCAAGAGAGAGAGAGAAAGAGAAAGGAAAAGAAAGAAGAATAGAACAAAGGCAGGCAAACATCTGGGCATGTTCTTGCTTTCGAACCCAGGAGCAAAACTTGGTGTTATAAAAATCTATTAAAAATACACCAGCCCATCTCTAGCCCTGGAGCTGTGAATTCTCCAGAGTGAGGAAGTGTTGCATTGCATCTCCTTTGCATATTAATGTCATGCAAATACCAGCACGCAGGGAAGTCTAGGGGCTTGGGGAGTGCCACTGGCTGGCTGTAAACCCTTGATTAAAAAGTTGAACACAGCCTATCACCACGGGAAAGGCCACAAAGATAACGGAGAGGAGACTGAGGTCTGATGAAACAGTTTGTTTATTCCAAAGACCTAAGGACAGACAGAAATGTTGCAACAGACAGACAGCAGCAGGCTAAGCGGGCCGTAAAGACAAGACGCGTCTTTGTTGAAAGTTCGCTTGAGATCAGTTCCAGGGGACGCAGTGCTCTGCGAGGCGGGAAAACATTGGCAGGGAAAGTGCTGACACGGCTGTCTGCGTGCTGCACGGAGGAGCTAGAGGAAACACCCGTTTTCACACCCTGCCGCCGACAGCCTGCCGAAAGCGAAACCCAGCCTCACAGCGCACACTGCATGAATGGCTTCTTTCTGCAGCTTGGCTGAAGACAGCGCTGCTATTTAAGTGCTTTTTGTTCGTAAAAGAAAAAACCCAGTTTTGTTTGGAATTGACTTCACCATTAGATTAGGACATTGTCCGTCGCGGTCTGCTCAGCTTTTGGGCGGAGTGTCTGTTGAATGCTATACGTTTCCTGGCCATGTTGGCTTCCTTTCTCCTAGCAGCGTCTCCCACGCCCGGCTGGCCCCTGCTTCTCGTCCGTCGCTGCAAGCCATGCAGTTGTTCTGATGGTTCAGTCTACCTGGTGCTCACTAAAACTTAGAGGAAGAGGAGGCAGTGGATTAAGGAGGCACCACCGGGGCTGGTGGCTTACACAGCTGAGTACAGCAAGGGACGTGGGATTGGGGACAAACTAGAAGCCAGGGATCAGGCTGGAGGGGGCCGCCACTCAACTCTAAGAGAAGCTGGAAAGGCGGACTTCCTGTGAAATTCCTTCTTTTCTACTAGCAAGTAATTGGAAAAGAAGGAATACTGTGAGGTGCAGAGAGCGCCTGGGAAGGCACATGGGCATTTCTTTAATTATTGTCAGCTGAATCCAGTGGCACGGGCAGAGCCATGTCCTGGAAACACGCTTTACCAAAAGGCAGGAGTGTTGTGGGGTGGGTTTTGTTATTTAAATCCAGCCAAGCACCAGGAATGAATATGATACAGGCCCACCCAAGAATGCACATAATCTTCTTTGTCCTGACTTCTGGTAAAACTTCCTGTTTTTTTGCTGTATAAAATGAACACACTGTACTGGCTCCGGGTCCCTGTCCCTGTCTCTCCATCAGAGGACAGCATTCCCACCCAGTGCCAGCTTTTCCCTTCTATCTCTGTGTCTGTCTCTTTCTTTCATTTTCTTGACCCCCAGCCGCCCCTGCTCAGGAACCAGACTGTTCTCTTGCTGTGCTGGATGCGGAAAAGATAAATATCCACAGTGAGGGGCAAATGGGACATGTCGGGGGCTACATCCAGTCTCCAGTTCTCCCCTTTACAGTGTCTAGACTGGAGAAAGCTGGTAGGCGAGTGGAATGACGGCATGGCATATGCTGGGCTTTGGATGCCAAGAAGCACGGCTTGGCACTCACTAAAACTAACATGTCAAGAAGCTGCATTCATTTTTGCAAAATAACATCATCCATCCCATCAGTCAATTTTAATTTTGTTGGCTTGTTGTTTGGTTTCTACTTAGTTGTAAGGCCACCTTTGGTTTTATAGTAGTATGAGTATTTGTTGATATTTAAGAAATATCCTAATTTAAATCAACAGTAGGAATCTGTAAGATAGTATCTTTCTCAAGTCTGAGAAATGATGTCCTATCTCATCTAATCTTTACATAAATCCCTAGGGATGTGAATAATTATTCACATTTTTAACCATGAGAAAATTGGAAACTCAAAGAGGTTCAGCAATCTGCTCAAACCCACCCAGCTACTAAGAGGCAGTCTGGGATTTGGGTCTCAGAGGGACCGGGAATTCAGGAGGGTTTAGGAGGAATCTGTGATCAGAATTTTATTTCTATTTTTGGTTGGATGCATGTAATCAGAATTACTATCAATGATCTCTCATTACATTGTCACTATGTTTTTTGGGGTCTGGGCCATCTAACCACCATTTACAATCTTGTATTTTCTTCTTTATACTTTTCTACAGTAACAAAAACAATATATTGCTTTTGATATAATGAAAGATTATTTTTGGATGGAGTAAAAAGGAATTTATGGGGATAGACCCCCCTCCTTACAGTGGGGAAAGAGCTGGGCTGCCACACACAGCCATCTGCTACATCTTCACAAGTGTCCCACCGTGTAAGTCCCACGGGAGCCGCAGACTGCGTGTGGGGCAAAACGGGGACACGAGTGACAGCTGGGAGTGCTGTGGGGCGCTCGTTAACGGTGTCAGCAGGGACACACGTCTTTGTTTCTTCCTGGTTGACTCAGGTCCAGCTCTGAGCACTTGAAGCTTCTCCACAGCAGCTTATCCACAAACAAGGAAAGAGGGAGGGGACTCAGGTGCCTACTACCAGATCTAAGGTAATCTTGATGGATTCCTGTTTGAAGCTGAAGCATTGACTAGGAGACTCTCCAGGCTTGTTCTTGTTCTTTTTGTTTGAGTTTATTCTCCCTCGGGAGAGCGTATGATGGCCGGCTCATAAACCCACACCAGGTTCCCCATCAGCCTGTGGTTGTCCACCACAGGCTCCTGTCCTCAAGCTGCCAAGCCAAATTTTCGGCAGAAGAAGGGAAAGTGAGCTCCTCAGTTCTACTGTCACCTGGTGGGTGGGGAGAGGACTGAGCAGCATTGTCTGGGCATTGCCCCTTCATTCTCCTTCCTACTGTCGTACTCCGGTATCCCAGGCCACTTATAAGAACAACTTCTCTAGGTTTAGTCGTTAAGCCTCCTCTCCCAGAGGGCTCCAAAACTGTCCAGGAACCAGAGCCAGGCACCTACAGTCTCCTGGCTTAGAACCCTGCAGCTCACCACCTCTCTCTCAGTCAAATGCAAAGATCCCAGGCCACTTAAAGAAACCAAATTTGGGGGCCTAGCTGCCTCACTCAGCAGGCCACCCAATAAACAAGGACACGCATTTGGTTTGAAGGGCCTTGTTTAGGCTCAGCAAGGGCCATCTAACTAATTCTATGAAATTTCCTCAGGTACAGATGAAGAAAATCATGAATGAGCGCATGAATGTGGTAAAATTAAATACGGTGGACTGAAGAGCAAAGACACAGAGCGGCCTGACTGAGCGTTGTGTCCACACAATGATGGCGACAACAGCCAGAGAACAGGACAGGCTTTGGAACCAAGGACCAAGGGGAAAGGGCCGATTCAGGAAACATTCCTGAGGAAACAGCAGCCAGCCTGCTGATAGGCGGGTGAGGAACGGGTCCGAGTCCTTGGCAAAGTGAATACAATTGAATCTGAAGTTGTTTGGGATTCTTTGAAAACTCTGGTATTAATCCAGGTCTATTATTAGCACTGCCTTTTCATTTCCTCTTCTCTCTTATGTTCAGATTTCTTGTTGTCCACACACTAGTCCTGAATGGTTTACCTAGAATTTTACATACAAACAACACAAATATTTTCAACCACAGAGAGGTCACCATCTAACATGATTAATAAATAGCCTTTCCTTCATTTTAAGTGAGAGGAAAAAGTCTCCAGTTCCTCCCATAGACCTTAATGGGGCTCCAATAGAAATTAATTTATCCTTTACTATTTATTAAGCACCAGACTATGCTAACATTTCTCCGGAGGCTCAAATGTTATTGCTGGAACAGTGGATGGAGGGAACACCAACCTCCAATTTCCCCTCTCTTCCTCCTTAGCCTCTTACTGCCCTCCTTCCACACCACTTCTGCCTCAAAAAAGTTTGCCTCATGGGTCAGTCAAAATTCACAACAGAACCTTCCTGAAAGCTGCATGGAGTCTGCCCTCTTCCTCCAAGGCCAATCTGTCATCCAGGAGTCAGTCCTTTGTCCTCACCTCGCTAATGAAGCTCAGGATTTATTACAAACTTGGTCCAAGGCCCAATTTCTGTTCATAAGACCCTGTCATCTTGGGATGAACCGTGCCGACAAAGGGCCAAGACGATAATGAAACCGTGGCCAGACAGGGCACAACAGCGGGAGTTAGGAAATAACAGCAGAAGTTGTCTCCAATGGTGAACAAAGACGTCCAGAACACCCAGGCTGCCTCCATTTGCTCACAGTGCTAGCATTTCCCAGCCTGGATCTTTACATGTTTATTGATCAGCTCCCCTTGGGAGCCATCCAAGATCCTTATTTCAGGTCTTTCGAAATGACACCTCTTCTAAGAAGTTCACCGAGGTGAAGTGGGAGCGAAGTCATGGTCTCCCTTCCTTGTTCTGCTGCCTTGGAACCGTGTCTCACCTCAGGGCACCCAGACTGGAACCAGCTGTGCATCTCACTCCTCTCCAGATGGGTTGTTTTTATCTATACATGTGTTACTGCAATGTTTTCTAGAACATAAATGGCTGGAGACATCAGAGCTGGCCCAGAAGCTATTAAAAAAAAAATAAAGACTTTGCCTTTTTAACTTTGTATTTTCTGTAGGGCCCAGTACACAGGAGGTGCTACACAGTAAGTGTGTGAATTTATTTAGTAATGACTCAGCGGCTGATGTAGCCCTGAAAAGACGCGAAGATACCCCATGTGACCCCCACCCTCTTGTAGGGCGATTGAAGCCTATACTTGTGCTTCACTAAAGAAAGTATAAATAAAAGAAACAGCCTGGACCCTGGAGGAACAGTAACAGAGCCAGAGGAGCCCAGTCTGCGAGGAGTAATGGCCATCCTCCAGCCATTGATTTTTTTTTTTTTTTTTTTTATAGTATCTGGACATTTACTAGAAGGATGAGATTGGCCTGGACAGTGATTCCAAATTGCTGCTTCTTAGTCTCTTACCTTCTACAATATAATATTTTCTCTAACCACAAACCACAGCGGTCAGAACCACAGAGCAATATACTGTAACAAGAGCAGTGTGCACGGTCCCAGCATTCCTCAATGGGTGATCCGCGTACGACAGCCCCAGGAGCTATCTGTGTCACAATGTCTTGGGGGCCAAGTGAATTAGTCCTGGTGGTGGGAAGCTTCGGGGTCCTGGTCAGTCACAGCATTGTGCTTTTCCCGGTGTGGTCAGGTACCACACGGATGTTTGTCCTCTTTCCTTCCATCCTGCTACCCTGTGTGCTTTCCCCATCAGTCAGCCTGCCACCCAGCCTGCCTCAGAGATGAAGAGGCACTGCAGAAAGCTGAGAAATACTTTAAAAAGTCCGTTCTGGCCCGGCTGGTGTGGCTCAGTGGTTGAACATCGACCTATGAACCAGGAGGTAATGGTTCGATTCCTGGTCAGGACACATTGCCCAGATTGTGAGCTCAAACCCCAGCAGGGGGTGTGTAGCAGACAGCTGATCAATGATTCTCTCTTATCATTGATGTTTCTATAGCTCCCTCTTCTTTCCTCTCTGATTATCTATATATCTATATCTTTATATCTTTATATCTATATCTATATCTATCTATACCTATATCTATCTATCTATCTATTATCTATCTATCATATATCTATCTATCTATTTTTTAATCTAGGCTTTCACTTTTCTACAGCCTAAGCCTCAGGAACAAGAAGCTGAGGCGCATGGTCACATAGAAAAAGGCCGATTTGATATTTGAATCCAGATCTTTCTGGCTTTAGAACCTCAACTCTTAAACACTCAGCTATACCAACTCATCATCTTTATCCTCCTCCCCCACTGTGCTGATGTGGACCTGGCCAGGTAACCTGGGAGAGGACCAAGGCATTCTATAGGGGTGCCCTGCCAAAAGCAAGGGCAGAGCCAGGCATGAGTAGGCAGCATGAATGATCTAGCTGGGGGTATTTCAGCCAAGGCTAATTTTGTGCCAAAATTAAAACAGCATCTTTCATAACAACCACTGGGGCTTTTCACAGACTGGATTCTTCACTAGAAATGCCCACATAAGAGTGTTCATTGGTGGGTCTGTGAGGATTGGTGAGTAAAATCTGACATTAACCAAAAGAACTGGATCTGTGGGTGGCTTCTTTTTTCCCTTCTTCTAATAGTTCCTTTTTTTCTTTTTCTCTTGGAAAGCACTTATTTCATTCCACAGGCCCATGTGCCAGCATCACTGTAATCTTTGTTTCAAAAACTTTCTCCGGACCAACTCCAGACTGGCTGCTGCCACTTGTTCGAAGCAAAGAGTCCCTATATCTGTCCTGAATGGCGAGTATTTACTTTGAAGCTTAAATTTCGTTTTGTTTTTAATGTAAACGCATCTGCAGAATAGATAGCAGGGACTTGTGTCTCTAGGAGGCAGCCTAGAGGTTCTCTTTGGCTCATTATAAACTGTCTCACATCAATCTTGCATTTCTTACCGATTTTTCTTTCCTAGCATTCCTTTCTCCCTTTTCTTCTACTTTCTCCCATATGGTCCCTCGAAATTTGGCTTTTCAGACTTAGCCTCTCTACTAATACTTTTATTTATTTTTAAAAATATATATTTTATTGATTTTTTACAGAGAGGAAGGGAGAGGGATAGAGAGCTAGAAACATCGATGAGAGAGAAACATCAACCAGCTGCCTCCTGCACACTCCCTACTGGGGATGTGCCCACAACCAACGTACATACCCTTGACTGGAATCGAATCTGGGACCTTTCAGTCCATAGGCCGACACTCTATCCACTGAGTCAAACTGGTTTTGGCTCTACTAGTACTTTTTAAATAAGTCATAACATTGCCAAAGTGAATAAATCTAACTTGGAATAAGTAGGACAGTTTTTCCCCAACATGAGATTTCACAGGAAACATGCTAAACTCAGGATGTGGGGAAAATTCCCTTGGAATCAAACCGTACCAGATGGTCTTCAGGATCTAATTGGGCCTCTTCATACCTACTCTAAAAGGGAAAATGAGTGGATGACGGAGTGAGACCTTCACCAACCTCACTCCCAGCACCACGGTTCTCTTGAACCTGAATATGGCGTTTCAGGTCCAGTCATTAGGCTATTCAATTAAGCATCCATCTGACATATCAGACACCCTGGGTAATTAGCAATAATGAGAACACAAGAGCAGACGAGTTGAAAAAAATAAATCTCTATGAGTCATATGTCCAAGTTGCCAATTATCAAACATCAGTCAGATCCTGTCCATAATCGAGAATAAAAAACATCTATTGAGAAGGCAGACTTTTGAGACCATGATGTCAGAATTGGGTTGAACTGCATGAGTCAGAATGGAAATTCACTAGGCCCACAAACAGAGTGAATAGTGTAAGATAATAAGCTTGAGAGAGTCAGAACCAGTGGGCTGGAATAGAAGAGAATCGTTTGGCCAAAGCTGAGTATCTATATTTCAAGATTTAGACAAAATTGTCACTAGATTTAATTATGTTAAGTGCACTATAGACATCAAGGGTCCTGGTCTACATCTATTTTACTTCTCATTATATATCCAGCACCCAGATTCTAGTAGGAATTCAGTAAGTATTTTGTAAATGAACGAAGTAATAAATAAATGAATATAGTAAAGTATGTTTTCCGTCCCTCGTCACAAGTACTGCCTCTTGGCCAATATCTCCAGGGTACCCTGAGAAGTTGTATGGCTGCTCAGCTGTCCCAGATGGGCAGACCATCATAAACAATGGTCTGGTCTTCAGCCATCCTGTTTGGACTTGTTTTTCTGCTCTCCATCAAATTTCAGCTCTGCTGGAATCCCTCCCCTGAGAGCCAGTTCATTTCCTTAACTTATTAGTGCTGAGTCAATGCATACACATAAGTGTATGGGAATATGTGTGCCATACCTTGTATCACGTTTTTGTCTTAACATCTTGCTTAAGAATAAGAACTTTGGAGTCAGACCTGAATTGGAATCTGCCACTTAATAGCTGTAAGACCCTGAGCAAGTCACTGAGACTCTCTAAGCTTTGGTTTCTTCATCTCTAAATAAGATATATCAATAGTATGATTCCTACCTCAAAGTGTAGTTGTGAGCATTCAATGAAATTTCCCAGGTAAAACATGCCTGGCATAGTGCCTGGCATATAGGAAGCACGCAGTAAACCTACGGTTCTCAAAGTGGGTTCCCAGACTCCAGTATCAGCATCCCTAGGAATCTCTTAGAATTACAAAATCTTGTCCTCTCTCCAAACCTACTGAGTGAGAAACTCAGGGTGTGGGGCCCAACAGTCTTTGTTTTAATAAGATTTCTAGGTGGTTCTGATGCAAGCTAAGGTTTGAGAACCACAGCAATAAATGTCAGCAATGATAATAACAATCAGTAGCATTTATATTTTGATAATGTATTGATAGTATTATTGCTTTGACAGGGACCATATAGGAATTTTAGTTCAGTTGTTGTTTTTGTTTGTTTGTTCAGTTGTTTTCAAACCAAGCTCTGAGAAGCTCTGGGGAGACATGCGAGACCACTGCCTGATGCTGAGGGCAGATCGGAGACAAGATCTAGCTCTGTTCTGACAAGCACGCTCCACCTTCTTAGTTTCAAGTGCTTCATTTCCAGTCCATGTTCAGTTTGTTTGACAAAAGAGTCCTTCTGGGAGGTAAATCTTGAAAATCACTATCTTGCCCAACATGCTGATGGGAATTAGGCCAGACTATGGGGAGAAACGGGGGACTAGAAGACTCTCCCAGGCCTATCAGCACAGAGGATGCTTAGCACTGGCCCTGTATTCAGGTCTAGACTCTACAAGCATTCTCCGGGAACTGTGCTGGGAACCTTTGGTCATACATCATTCAATTACATCCTTCCAAGGTGTTCTATTCTCCCCCTTTCAGAAGAGAAAATGCAAGTGCAAAGAGGGTAAGGAAACAAGGCCAACGTCACACTGTGAGTGCAGCTGGGAATAGGAGCCAGATCACCTGACACTGAGATTTGTCATCATTCTCCAAGCAGGGCTGCTGGTTGCCCTTGAGCAGACGACCTCCCCATACAGGCAAACAGCACATGGGCGCTCTGGAGTAACCCCAGGGATGGTCATATCACACTCTTGGACTGACACGTACAGTAGCAGGCAGATGCTCAGCCTCAAAGCCTGGGACAACTGATTGGGTTTTTTCCAAAATGAGCCATAGTTACAAGGAATTAGGAAGTCCCCATTCAGAAGGGCTGTTCCCTGTTTGCTCAGTCAGGCAGGCTGGGGAGATGACCTCAAGGTACCAGATATGCAGCAGTGAGCTGAGAATCCAACGATCTCCGCCTCCACCTCCACCTCCACATCCTAGCCACACCAGACTGCGTGTATGGTCTCCAGCAAGGCAGGATTAACCCTTTAAGCCTTGGCCAAACATCTAACTGAATGGCCAAACCTGTTCCTCGTCATCCGAGGTGCATCTTGAAACGGAGTTAGATGCTACTGAGATATCTTTGCGCCCCCTACAAAGTTGCTTTAGATGAGTATTTTGTCATTAACTGCAGCATTCCTTATTCCCTTATTAAGCCATTCTTCAGATGGCTGTGGAACACTCACCATGGGCCAGGCCTTGTGTCACATACAGAGGACACAGCTGAGAACCAGACACATGTGGCTCCAGTCTTCTTGGAGGCCACACAGCGGTGAGGATGGGGAGTCATCGCTGATGGTCTGCCTGCGCTGATCACATGGGAATATTGTTAGGGGTTTATGATGTACCAGGCACGGTACCAAGTGTTACCCACAAATTTTAGTTCATGTGATTCTCACAGCAGCCCCAGCAGTAGGAATAACGATCTCCCTATCACAGAAGAAGGAACAGGAGCCAGGAACGTTTAAATAACTTGCCCACGTAGAGTTCACTGTTACTGAGTGGCAGGATCTATCTGACTCCAAAGCCATGCTCGGAGCCTCTAAGGTCATAGGTATCTGTGTCCATATATGCCCACAGACACAGAGCATCTCTTTCTCCCTGCTGGGGAGGATATCTGGCCTACAATGAGTTCTTAGTAAATAGCTATTAGGTGAATACACCCATCTGGGTTATGCTAGAGACAGAAGGTGCAGATGACGAGATAATGGGGTGGTGATGGAAACTGAAGTGATCGTTGGGTGGGGGGGAGGGGGGAAGAGGGGTAGTAGGAAGGGAGCCCCATGCAGCAGGAGCCCCGGGAACAGGCGCAGGGGGATGCCTGGGACTGCCATGGGGCTGCCGGGAAGCCGCTGTCCTGTCAGCAGTTCTGGGGAAGCAGTGGTGTTGGTTGGGGTGGGGGTAGGAAGAGGGGGTGTCACTCACTCTCTCCCAGCTGTTGTCACGGAAGGATGGAAGGACGTTGTGTCTGTCGGGGGCTGATCTGTCACACAGACTGGGAGCTGTGTGTACCCAGGTGGCTCAGAGAGAAGGCTGGTGTGATGCTGTGGTGGCTGTCCCCTCCTTCCCTAACCCATCTCCTCCTCCAGGGTGGCGGCGTCCGGTGAATGAGCTGAGCGCACTGAGGTTATTTTTCACTGGTCTTCAGATGCAGGACCCGTTTAAATAGCGATGACAGTTGTCATCAGCTGCCTTTATAACAGGGCGCCATTTGCTCCTTACCCCTATCACTTCAGCTACTTAGCTTTAAACAACACGCCGTTTGGGAAAAGCATGTTCATTTGAAAGCGCGCGCGCGTGTGTGTGTTAATCCTCACCTGAGGATACTTTCCCATTGATTTTTAGGGAGGGTGGGAGGAGGGAGAGACAGTGAGAGAAACATCAATGTGAGAGAAAGATGGGGTTGGTTGCCTCTCCGACCAGGGGCTGGATGGAGCCTGCAATGGAGGTACGTGCCCTTAACCAGAATCAAACCCAGGAGCTGGCTGACCCTTCAGGTCTCGGGCTGACGCTCTATCCATTGAGCCAAACCGCTAGGGTGGAAGTCCCAAGTTTTGCTTGTTAATATCAAGTTACTCAATATCCCCGGCTAGGAGCTGAGAGTGCACAGGCGCTGTGGGAGCCGTGGGGAGAGATGGGAAGGAGGAAAGCAAAACCACCTAGGCCAAGAGGGTTTATGTCCAGGAAAAGGACACTGCGCCTTCCACTGTGTTTACTGGGCTGCTCCCCGCGGCTCCCTCTCCCCCCTGCCTTTCAGGGTCAGCCAGCTCCTGGCTGGGGAGACAGGCCCAACTTCCCCAGGCAGAGCACCCTTCCTTGACGCGGTGCTGGCCCCTACAGGCTCCCAATTAAAACGCATCCCAAAGGACCACCGCATTCTCCGGGGGGTCTATTGGTGGATTTTCCTAGAAAATGAAGGCATAACAACCTCTGCTTCTTTCCGTGTCCCCGAGAGGAAATGCCTGCCTTGTGTTGGCGGCCTGATTACGGCTTGCTCGGGTTTGCAGAAATGGCATTGTTTTCTGTTCTGAGGAGGAAAAGCGGAGGGCCGAGGTCAAGTGCTTCCCAGCCATTTGCCTGCTGTGGGACTGCGGGTTGAAGTTATAGTTGTAGCTATTTTGGGGTGAATGTCCCGAGTTTCCCAGGTGCCAGGCGGCCAAGCCTGCCAGAGGGAGAGAGGGATGATCAGGCACGCCCAGGTCTGCAGGGCTGCGTCTAAACTCTGGGCTTTGTTTGACTAACTTTGCTGGCTTTTACAGATGAGGGAACGGAGATAGGGTGACATGCTCAAGGTCACACCACCTTTCCCCCAGCCCACCGCCTTCAGAGATCCCTGAAAAGGGGACATGGGGGTTGTTCTAATACTCGGTCCCAGTGTTTCAAAAAAGAGGCAATCAGGCTCAGTGGATAGAGTGTTGGCCTGCGGACCAAAGGGTCCCGGGTTCGATTCTGGTCAAGGGCATGTATTCCGGTTGCAGGCTCCTCCCCAGCCCCGGGCCCTGGTCCAGACACATGCAGGAGGCAACCAATTGACTTTCTTTCTTTCTTTCTTTCTTTCTTTTTTTTTAAAATATATTTTATTGATTTTATACAGAGAGGAATTGAGAGGGATAGAGAGTTAGAAATGTAGATGAGAGAGAAACATCGACCAGCTGTCTCTCGCACACCTCCCCCAGGGGATGTGCCCGCAACCAAGGTACGTGCCCTTGACTGGAATCGAACCCGGGACCTTTCAGTCCGCAGGCCGACACTCTATCCACTGAGCCAAACCGGTTTCGGCTTGACATGTTTCTTTCACATTGATATTTCTGTCTTTCCCTCTCTCTTCCACTCTCTCTAAAAATCAATGGAAAAATATCCTCGGTGAGGATTAAAAGAAGCAGCAGCAGCAGCAGCAGCAGCAGCCGCCAATCTGAGTTTTAAAAAGCATACCTGTGAATGATCAAGTAGCAGTAATAAGGGAATTTCCCCATAAGAAAGGCTTTGTCTGGGGAGGACCATACCACACCCCGCCGAGGTCAGAATGGGATTGGTGAGGTTTGGGCCGCTTGCACGGGGCCGCAACTCAAGCAATCATCGCTGACAACAGGCACGTTGAAAACAAAGAACCACAAGTTATCTGAAACACACACACACTGGCCTATCAAGGCGATCGCAAACCTAATTTCACAATCTATAGAGACCTATTCATTTGAAGAAATTTATTCTTCATCAAATAATGGGACTCCCCACCAACTGGCAGACTTCTTCTTTAAATGCTATTATTGTTTACCAAATAACAGTCACCGGGAGGAAAGTAGTGGGAAAGGTGTCAGTGACATCATAGGACGACCACAGATTTCTGGTTGATGCCACAAAGGATTCCTAAGTAGGAGGGGGAAAAATAGAGTCCCCACGTATAAACCTAAAGGCCTAGTTTGGAGGAAGAGTGGAGAATTACTAAATACCAGCAACAGCATCAGAACAGATACACTCACTTCTCAAAACACACCCATTATTTACACCTGAATCCTCTCAGTGGTTCCTGTAACCACCTCCTCCCTCTCTCCCCATCGCCACCCACCCCTCCCCGCCACCAGTCCCAACAGCAACCACAAAGCTGCCCAACGGTCCTTATTCTTGTTCCCCGATTTTATCCCAGGAGATGTCCCCAGGACCGGCCAGGGTGCAGTGTTTGGAAGGCTCTTTAATAGCAGGCGAATAATGGCATCGTCGGATGGAGAAAGGCGCAGATGTGGGCAGGGTCCCTGCCTCGGATTCACACTGCTGGATGCGTCTAACGAAGGGCAACAACGGCTGGCAGCCCTTTTCACAGCTTTGCCATTTACAAGAGAAAGGCAAAGAAAGCACATACACCCTGCATGAAATGTCTGTGTGTTTTTGTTTTGCCTAAGAAAAAACCCCCAGACGATTCCTTGCTTATGCTTCTCCTTTGATGGCTAAACTGCTTTTGTACACAAATGCAGACCGGTCACAGATAGTCTCAGTTGGTTCTAGAACTGACAGTTTATGCTCTCCCCAAGGAGCGGCTCCGGGCACAGAGTCCCGCTCCCTGCCTTCATGGGCCCGGCTGCCAGAAGGGGCTTCCAGTAAGAACCAGATCTTCAGAAACAGAGATGAGACAGAAGAAAGACCCAGGGAAAAGCAGTTTTACATAGAACAGACTGTCAGCTTTCTCCCGCATGGAGCCTCTTGAACACACAGTTCTCGGAAAGTGAAATGTTTATTTTCCTGCGGCCTGGTGCCGCGTTGAACAGCGTATGCCTCCTCAGCCTCACAAGGCTTTCCACGGGCTTTCTGACGCGACCTGTTCACAGCTCCTCAGTTTTTGCAATCCAAATTAAAAAAAAAAAAATACATCAAAGACAACATATCATTTGCCCATTTGCCCAAGGAACGTGAGCTGGAGCTATTTTACGGTGGGCACCACGTTGCCATGGACACCAGAGGCTGCCGGCATCCTGGCAAGTTTCAGAATGATTCTGCATCCACCTGCAAGACTTCAGCCTTTCCTGTGATCACAAAGCCAAGAGTCTTCGTGGAAGAGGATTTGTTTTTCATTCAAAAAAGCTGCAGGCTTCTCTGGTGACCCGAAGACTACGCAGCTGGCAATGGCTTCTAGAGTTAATGTTAGCGCTCATTCAAGGGAAGAGGGATATGCAGCCCACCTGAGCCCTAATGGTGCTCTGTCCGCAGCCCTGGAGCGGGGTGCAGTGGGTGGGCCCCGCCTTCGGCCTGCAGGAGGGGCGTTCGACCCTCGGTCTCCTCGGCAGCTGAGAGCAAGACCCAGCTGGGTCCCGGTCAGCCTGGCGTGTGACGGGCGCCTCTCTGAGGCCTGTGAGTGCCTCGGACAGACGGGCTCCTCTGGCTGGCAGCCGGCTGACCCGGGACCAGGACTCCGCCAGACTCACAGGACCCTGGCCGTCCCCCTGGCGGGGAGGCATTTGCAAATCCAGGCCTGGCCTCTGAGCACATGGGCAGGCAGTCCCTCTGAGCAAACCAGGCCCCGAGTGGGAGAGCCAAAGAGTTTTCCCGGACCTCCCATGCTAACTGCCTCCTGGCTTCTTTCCTTTTTAAAGACTCAGACCCGAGTTCTGCCTTCCTCACCTTCCCCCACCCAGACTCAGTCCTGCCTGCTCCTACCTGCCTCCCAAGTCACGGGACACTGGATGCCAGTTTCCCAACGTGTCTGTCACCACCTGCACGGCAGAGGCCGGGGCTGTGGCACCACAGCTCCCTGGGTCCACACACGTGTGCTCTGAGGAGACAGAAACGGTCTGTGGAGACGTGACTGTGCCCAGGAAGGGCTTCTGCTCACGTGAAAAGCAGCAGGAAGTGGAGAGGACAGGGGTTCCCACTGACGCCCGCTGGGAGCCGCATGCTGGCACCAGGACGCCAGGAGCGCTTTTAGGGAAGAGGTTGGTGTCGGCCATTGAAGCTGCTCGGGGCCTGGGACCTGGGGGGACGCCTCAGCGCGGCTGCATCGAGTGTGGCAGCTGCTGCGTGGGTCTCACCCTCTTCCCTGGCTCCGTCATTCACTCTCCGATTCCCCGAAGTCTGCTCGGGTGGTTATCAGAGGAAAGCAACCAGCAGCCGTCAGAAACAGGTCTCCGTGACTCACTCAAACCCAGGACCACGGAGTGGTAAGGTTCTCGCAGGCCCGCAGCAATCAACAAGCAATCGTCCCCCGTTCACACACCTGCATGCTCACTCCCACAAACACGCTCACACTCACTCTCTCCACAACTACAGTCACCCCTTCCAGCTATCCCTCATGCAATTTCCCCTCTAATTAGGTCAAAGTGACTCCCCTTCCGAAGCCACAATCTGCCAGGGCACAGCTAAAACGACACCTCCCACAGGCAGAGCCGGTGCCACGGAGACACGTCTGGTTTCTGCGCCTCCCGGGGCCTGGCTCTCGCTAAGGAGCATCCCATCAGCCCCGCTGGGTCAGGTCCCGGGGGTGTGGCCGCTCACAGACCCACCGAGACCCGTTCTAAGGTAGCTCGGGGGCTGGGACCCTAAGGAGAGTGAGATTCTACACCTACTTCCTGCTCATTTCCCCTCATGGTTGCTCTTCAGACCCACACACGTCTTCGGGCAGCTGTGGGAGAATAGTGGTTAGAGTAGGAAGGGCAAGATCCCTTGCTTCAGGCTAGGTAAGTGACCTGCCGGGGTCATGCCGTTACCGGCAGAGTCGGCCCTGGCACCCAGGTGCCTCTCCTGACTCCCGGCCTGGGCTCCCCCCACTGTGCTGCGGTGCGTCCGTGTGTATGAGTCTGTGACCGTCCAGCCATGGGCCCGTTTCCACAATGACAGAAACCACAGGCTGCTCGCCCTGCTTGCTGGCCGGCCAGGTGAGACTGCACCGTGCCAACCCTGACGCCACACAGGACCCGGACATGCATGCGTGTGGCCGTGAGCCCTGGCGGGGAGCACACAGAGAAAGGGAAGTTTAGGGGAAACAATCGATTCGCCAATGCCTTTGGAGGTTTTGCCAGGAAAGTAAGGAACATGCGGCGATGTTACCCCCAGCCCCCGGGGCAACACAAATACCAGTTTTCTCCCCAGACTCTGCCTCAGCTCAGCGTTTATCCACGGGACATGCACACAAGAACACTAAAATGCATTTAGTCAAAACCTAACCCCTTTTCAGATAAAGTAACATTTCACATCAGTGTCCACCCCATTTTCAAACACATGCACATTCAGGTGTGAAGCCTCTAGGACACACACGTTCCGTTTACCTGGGAGGGCAGCACCCTCGTCCAGCGCCTTCCTTTCAGCTGCAGAAGGCGAGCACCTGGAGCCAGAGCTGCAGCAGGGGCGGCTCCCCGCACACCTGCGCTCAGGCCTCAGCCAATCAGATCCCAGCACAGCCTGGCGCGGTGCGCTCATCCCATTGGAGGGAGCCTCAGGGTTTGTTTTGTTCGTAGGCTCCCGGGAAGGAAATTCACTTGGCTTGAAATTAACTTTGTTGAAACCCGTTGGCTCAATGGATAGAGCATCGGCCTGCGGACTGAAGGGTCCCAGGTTCCATTCCGGTCAAGGGCATGTACCTTGGTTGCAGGCACATCCCCAGTAGGAGGTATGCAAGAGGCAGCTGATAGATGATTATCTCTCATCGATGTTTCTAACTCTATCCCTCTTTTCCTCTCTGTAAAAAAATCAATAATAATAATAATAATAATAATAATAATAAATATATATAAATAAACCTTGACTATGTTTTCCCAAGACAAGAAAAAATGTGGCTCCTGACTCCCGGGTAGAAAGCACTGGATCATTTTACCCCGAGACTTAAAACTGCGGGGCGCCCGGTTTGACCACGAGCAGCTGGGCTCCTCCCAGCACCCATGAAACAGAAAATGCCAAGACCTTCGGGTTTACACTCACGTGACTGGAAGACAGACAAGACCCCCAGGAGCTCTGAAGCCTCTGCGGTGGCAGCTGCTGCTTTTTTAATTTTTTTATTTGTTTAAATCAAAACATTCACAACCTAACGGGCACGCATGTTAGAAACATCCCCACCCAGATGCCACGGTTAGCGAAATGCTGTACAAGGGCGTCGGCACCCACATGGTGAGGACCAGAGGGCCCAAGAAAAGGAGTATTTGAAATAAGTCCATGTTAGCATGACAAAGAATTTCTCCCAGGAGTACTTGTTGGCTAAAGGATGACAGTCTTTGTCCAGTCTTTTTAGCTGAGAATTGTGATCATTAAAACTCCCCCTCTGCACCGAGCAAAGCTGCATCGCGTTACACATTCACTGCAGCCCTGGCCAGTGTGGCTCGGTTGGCTGAGCATCATCCATTGCACCAAAAAGCTTCTGGTTCGCTTCCCAGTCAGGGCACATGCCAGGGGCTGTGGACTAGATTCCCTGTAGGGGGTGTGCAGGAGGCAGCCCAAGGATGTTTCTCTCTCACATCGATGCTTTTCTCCATCTCCCTTCTCCTCCCTCTCAAATCAATAAAAACATTTAAAAAATTCACTGGAATTGAATTTTGAAGCACTCGATTACAATTTTTAAGTACATACAGTGGGATCATTTTCTTGACATTTTTTTTTTTTAAAAGGATAAAAGAGCCCTGGCTGGTTTGGCTCAGTGGATAGAGCGTCAGCCTGCAGACTGAAGGGTCCCAGGTTCGATTCCAGTCAAGGGCATGTACCTTGGTTGCACGCACATCCCCAGTTGGGGGTGTGCAGGAGGCAGCTGATCGATGATTCTCTCTCATTGATGTTTCTAACTCTCTATCCCTCTCTCATCCTCTCTGTGAAAAAGTCAGTAAAATATTTTAAAAAATATATAATAAAAAAATTAAAAAAGCATAAAAGTCAGATTACGAAAAAAGGATTCCATCATATTTTTTTAAAAAAAATGTTATCCTGGTTTATTGTCCCATTAAATTGATCTATGGCTTCAAAGTTGACGTGGCCCTTGGATTTTAGATAGTTTCATGATTTAACAAATTGCCATCTCATTATAACGAGAGAAGGTAAATGTTTCATATGTGGGACGGTTTTCAGTCTAAAGAAGTTAGTAACTGATGTCACCCCATTTATATCCACGGTTAAGTCTTAGAATTAACATGTTTTAGAGTAACTGACCAGGCAAGCATGTTTATAGAACCAGGAACCAGTTGCCACATCCCCAGGTCACTCAGGACTGGTTGCACACTGGGAGGGTCTTTTCACCCAAAGCTGCATGGCGATCCTTGCCTGCCCCTGTACTTGCACTTGTGCAGTGTAACGACTAGGTATTAAAACTCATGCTTTATAAGCAACAACGCTCACTCACGACACGTAACCAGGTACATACAAAGTGCAGACCGCATTTCTTCTCTGCCATGCTTTTCCCTCCATCGAGTCACCTGTGAGGACTCAAAACACATCCTTCGTACATTCGGAGTTCCCGACACTCGAGCCAGTGCATGCCAATTCTCCAACAGAAACTCAAGAGAACCGTCAGCCACAGAATGGACTCTGCATTAGAAATGGCCAAGGCTACTGAGACGACGCCATAGCAACCCACTGACACAGGAGTCAAATGGAGGCCACTGCTGAGTGCAGCTCATCCCAGATATTCTGTGGTTGTTAAGAAGGTATTTCGTTTGAATTCGGAAGCTGGGAGCCAGACGTCCTGTTGCTAAGAGCTAGCCCAGGAGCAGCTCGAGAGCCTGCCTCGGGGACCACGGGGCTCACTCCTTCCAAGTTTACTGCTGACTGACCCCCATTTGGGGGTGGTCGGCCTCTGGCTCCTCCTCCTCCACGTCGGCGCTGTACTCTTCAAACGCGTCATCATCGGCGTCCGGGAGGCCCAGTAACTGCAGGGAGAGAAGAGAAGCACCTGTGAGCCAACGGCTCCAGGCAGGAAGGCCACCAAGCAGCCCTTACAGGACTCAGCACAGCAGCTATGATTTCCCCTGAGACCTCCCCAACAATTATGTTCATAAACTCATTAGAAGGAAATATCAGTCCTTCAATGGATGGGGGCCCCAAGGACTCATTTTTATTGGGGAGCCTGAAGATTCTCTACTTTTAAGCATTAAAACATGACCCCTCCGCCCACCTATGCATGAAGATATGCTACCCACGCACACCCACACATATCTGGGATGCTGGCAGTAGTACCATGCAGTGTGACTATCCCATCAAGATGTCAAAAATCAGTTCTCCTCTTTTTCTCCCCTAAAAGCACAGCTGCTCTGAAAAGATTCAACAGTGGTTAAAAAATTTATTGGGTGCCCAGAAGATAAAATCTTATGTAGCCACTTAAAATAGTATTCTATATAATAAAAGGCTAATATGCAAATTGACCAAACCACGGAATGACTGGTTGCTATGATGCGCATTGACCACCAAGGGGCAGACACTCAATGCAAGAGCTGTACCCTGGTGGTCAGTGTGTTCCCACAGGGGGAGCACCACTCAGCCAGAAGCTGGGCTTATGACTGACGAGCACAGCAGCGGTGGCAGGAGCCTCTCGCACTCTGCAGCAGTACTAAGGACCCCTTGGGGGATATCTGACTGCCGGTGAGAAGGCACAGGCTGGGCTGAGGGATCCCCTCCCCTCAGTGCACAAATGTCATGCACCGGGCCTTTAGTCTATAATAATAAAAGGGTAATATGCTAATTAGACCAGATATCCTTCCGGATGTCATTCCAGACAAAGCCGGGACCTGAGGGAAGCCTGGGTCTTAGGCGTCTGCCGGTGACCGAAGGGAAGCCAGCCAGGGGAAGGAAGGTCTACTCTTACACTAATTTTTTAATAATCTAGTTTTTAATAATCTAACGATATAAAAAAATATGCTCACAAGTGTAAAAAGAATGTGTGTTTACATTATGATACATATTTCTTTAAGTTTATACACAAATGCACAGAAAAAAAGAGTTCAGTGAAATACATCCAGATCTTAAGGACATCATTTTTATTTTTTAAAATATATTTTATTGATTTTATACAGAGAGGAAGGGAGAGAGATAGAGAGTTAGAAACATCAATGAGAGAGTCATCGATCAGCTGCCTCTTGCACACCCCCTACTGGGGATATGCCCGCAACCAAGGTACATGCCCTTGACCGGAATTGAACCCGGGACCTTTCAGTCCCCAAGCTGACGAAGAGCATCATTTTTAGACATTGTGATTATGGGTAAAATTTTCCCTTTGTAATCTTCTCATTTTCCCAAATGCTCTCTAATCCCCATCAGGGAAAGGCAGAGCCATCCACAGGAAACGTGTTCTCAGAGCACTGGCTGCTGTTCGGCTGGAAGCTGAGTGCCATGAGCTGGGCTGGACCGATAGAAACAGGAAGCTCTGGGATTGGCAGGAAGCCGTGACCTTGGGCACTCCTGAGCCTTGTCCGTGATCATGGGCATCCAGCCCTGGCTCTTCCCTGAGATCACAGCATGCACGTGGCCAAAGGACTTCCTCTCACAGTGACCTCATCCTTGGCCAGTCAGTTTGAGGCAACTTCACCAAACTGCCCTCTGATCTCAGCTCCAACTCCATTGAGGCACTAAGATAAGACAGGCCACTCTGTTTGCTGTGTTCTGCCTCCCTAGTGCCCGGCCACGCCACCCCCACCCAACTCCCTTCCTTCTTCCTGCTCCTCCCCAACTCCCCACGTGAGACAAGGATAAGCAGAGGCCCAATCCTAATGATGCCTGGACCGAAATCCTCAAACCACAACCCTGGCTGGTCTCACGGAGCCCTAGGAACACACTCGTCTGTCCGCACTCCTGGTCACATGGTGCCTGTGGCCTGCCAGGGTGGCCGCGGCCGACTGCAGACACGAGCTTTCTCCTTAGAGTACAGAGCTGACTCAAGGTGCCACTGCCGACTGGGAGTGGAGGGGCAGGGGGGCGCATCCAGCTCATCCCCACAGTTTGTGACAACCTCGTGAGCCCCCACCACGGCCTCCCTCCACATCTTAGCAGATGGAATAAAAGACCAACTTTGCCTCTAAAGAGAGAAGAGATGGCTTGCACCATGAACGCAGGTGACTCTCATTCCGGTGTTCGGATTTTTTTTTTTTTTTAAACCAAAATAAGTCAGACAGGAAGAGTTAAGAACCATATGAACGAGAATGTGCCTGCGATTCCAAACGCTATCACACAGACACGTGACCGTCTAGCATTCCCACCCCTGCCTCCATCCCCGTGGATGGCGGGTAAGTCTAAATTTAACTTCTGGATCCGAACTGTGAACAGTCAAGATCTACCAGAGACAGGAGTGCAAACAGACTGGAGAGAATCCCGGAGCCCTGGCTCTCACAGCACCCACACGGTCTCGGGAGGAAAACGAGACCGGCCAAGAAATCCTGTCTGGCGCACTGAAATGACTGCTGGTAGTTGTGACCATTCATTCCTTTTCAGTCGACTGGGAAACACCTGCCTGTTCTCTCTGGACAAGTGTTGGCATTTGCAGGGTCTTGCTGTCACCAAGCTTTTTCTGAACAGCCTATGATCGCACAGAACTTCTGGGGCCCATCCACCCAAACAGGACTGTCTGGGATGGTAGAGATGCCAAGCCCTGAATTAAAGTTCCAAAGACCCAAGAGAGCAGGGGTGAACTGAAGGACTGAATAGGGGTCTTTTGGAAAGAGTGGGAGCCACATTCAGTATGGAGATGTGAAAGCATCTGGGGCATTTGCCACTGTTTATTTACTGATCATAATGCTGGTGGTACCAACAGACCCATGACCCGGGCAGCCTGTCTTCTTGATATGAGGAAAAAAAGAGGCAGGTGGCAAGATGACTAACGGGCAAGAGCCGTGGTCGGCAAACTGCGGCTCGCGAGCCACATGCAGCTCTTTGGCCCCTTGAGTGTGGCTCTTCCACAAGATACCTTGGCCTGGGCGTCTATTTTGAAGAAGTGGCGTTAGAAGAAGTTTAAGTTTAAAAAAGTTGGCTCTCAAAAGAAATTTCAATCGTTGTGCTGTTGATATTTGGCTCTGTGGACTAATGAGTTTGCCGACCGCTGGGCAAGAGTAATAGCTACTCTCTTACTTGTAGGGCCCATTGTACTTCCTGAAACACACGCACAAGGGTTTGTTTATAATGTGAGCAAAAAAACAAAAGCCATGATCAACTTAAAATGACCCATGGTTCGGTTTGATTCCCAGCCGGGGTGCCAGCCCTCCTCCCGCGCTGAGCACATCCGGATCCTGCCCTTTCTCCAGTCTCACCTCCCCGCCCGGTGCTGCGTTCCCAGCGAGCCCACTCACCCCTGGCGCTCCTAGCCCTTCTAGCACAGTGTAGACCAAGCATGTCAAACTCGTGGCCCACAGGCCGCTTGCCTCGTTTATTTGGCCCGTAATTAGCCTTTGAGCTTGACATGCTTGGTGTAGACCAAACAGCTTTTTAAAAAACACAACACCATTTCTGATCTTAAATGTTGACATCACAGACAATTTAGAAAATACAGAAAAGAAGAGCATAAATATCACCCATCACCCTGCCACCCAGAGGCTCTGAGGTCAGGCGCCCCCTGGGGGCCGGAGTGTCCACTCGTCCTCCTTACAGCACTAGGAGGACAAATGCATCTAACACAGAGAGCTGAACGCATTAGCTATCGAATGGTGGTTATCATTTTCCCCAAACCAATGGTGATAAACTTTGACTATAATACCCCATCAATACCTCTAGGTGCCTCTGTTAAGCATGTGCTGAAAGCACCTGGCAAATTGGTTTTCCTCCTGACCAAGAACCTACAAGTCCTATACATTTCACAAAGTCCTGCTCACTTCTCAACAGTATTTTAGTGCTGTAAATGCTGTCCTATGTACCCCATGAGAAATGCATCATGTAAGCATCACAGCAACCCCAAGGTAACTACTGTCATTGTTTCCTAATCTTACAAATGAAGAAACTGAGAAACAGAGAGGTTAAGTAACTTGGCTAAGGTCACACAGCCCTCAAGTGGCAGAGCTTGGATTTGAATCGCTGTCCCGGAGCCCAGGCTGCTCATCCGTGAAGAATCCTGATTGCACATCACCGGGGAGAGACCACAAACAGCACCCTGAATTCGTATCAGTAATGTGCCCCCGGAAACAGCTCCCTAAGGACCCAGTACCGCGGAGAACACAGAGCAGGGACTGGAACTCTTGGCGTGTTCTGTACAGGGAGCACCCAGCAGAGCGTCTGCACCAACCAAAATAAATGCTCTGCCCTGCGATGTGGAGTTTCTGTGTCTGTCTCTCCTACCACAGCCAGCTCCTCAGGGGCAGGAGCGGGGCACCGTGCTGTGCCCTCACTCTCTAAAGTAGGGGTGTCGAACTCAATCAGAGAAGGGGCCAAAATCTAAAATCCAGCCTAAATCGTGGGCCGAATGGTTTACTGAACAGTCATAAACTGTCATTGTGATGGAAACGCAGCGGAGTGCAGTGATGACAGCGCGGTGCGGGCCACATTGCAAGGCCTGGCGGGACGGATTTGGCCCGCGGGCCTTGTGTTTGACACATGTGCTCTAAAGCAAGGCGTGGGCAAACACAGGTGACGGACACCTATGGTTGAAAATGTGATGAAGTAGAGGGAAAAGTAAAATGGCAAAAAAGGATCACTTTTTTTTTTTTCCTTTTCCCCATCCAACAACGGATTTATTGGGGGGGCAAGATTTCAGTGGAGGGAGGGCAAACGAGAGAAAGGGGAGAAGCACAGCCTCCAGAGTTGGCATGCGGAGACAGGCAGAGAGCTGCCGTGGCTGCTCAGCCTCTGGGCAGGACGGCTGGGGAAGGCCAGGCGATGACCTCGCTCCGGGCTGTGCACGCAGGAGCTCAAGGCTGCAGCAACTTAATTGACTCTGCCTGACTGATGCCCCAACGGCGGGCAGAAGGCTGCCAACAGATGGATCTTCTCTTCCAGAGAGCCTGCACAGGCCGGGGCCGGCGAAGGGCGGGCCAAGGGGAATAAGGACTCGCAGGCAGGGAGGAGGCTGTTCTAAGGGGAACCTGTTCCTCACGGTGCTGCCCCGACTGCTAGCCAAAAGCACCGCATTCTCAGGGGGACGATGTGCTGAGGCTCACCTGCCTGACCACCCTGGAGCACCGGGGCCTGAGCCACTCCAGCAGAACCCGGCACCAGCGACAAGACCCTCCTGGGTCTTATTTCTAAATGCAACCTCCCTTCGCCAAGACGCACAGCCAGCTCTGGCAGCCGAGGCTCAGTTAGTTGGGCATCGTCCTCTGCACCGAAAGGTTGCCAGTTCGATTCCTGCTCATGGCACATGTCTGGGCTGTGGGCCCGATCCCTGGTGTGGGGGACAAGCAGGAGATAGCTCATGGATGTTTCATTCTCACATTGATGTTTCTCTCTGTCCCTCTAAATAAATAAATAAATAAATAAATAAATAAATAAATAAATAGTTTTACAAATCTATTTGAACCAAATGGGCTTAGAAATTTTTAAAGATAAAAAATGAATTGATGAGAGGAACGATACAAATCAACAAGTGTGGACTAAAGCCACGAAACTTCCAATTCTTGTAGTAACAGTAGGTTAAACGGTTGGGACCAGCTCGCCCACAGGGAACCAGAGCTGGGTTCACGATGAAAAATGCCTTCCTGGGTACACTGAGGAAGGAATTAGGCCCCAGAGAGGGGCACCTGCTTCTGTCCCGAGGGCACTGCTGGCCGAGAAGCAGCAGGTAGAAACCTGATGCATGGCTGGCCTATGCTCAGAGCTGGGGGACCCGTCAAAGCCAGGCTCTCCCAAAGGAGCAAACTGGGATGAACCAACCCCACAGTAAGCTGGGACCCCATAGGCCTATACCTTGGCTCTGGCCTGAAAGTCTGTCTGAAATTCACGTTGAAATTCTCCTCGCTGAGGTGGTGGTAGGAGGTGGGGCCTTTGGGAGGCAATTGGCTCAGGAAGGTAGATTCCTCATAGATGGGACCAAGATCTTATAGAACAGGCCCCAGAGACACCTCCCTCCTCCCACCAGGTGAGTGGCAGTGAGGAGATCCTGTGACCAGGATGCGGGCTCTCACCAGACACCAAGTCTCCTGGCACCTGATGGTGGCCTTTCCAGCCTCCAGACCGAGAGAAGTAAATTTCTGTTGTTTCTAAGCCATCCAGTCTGTGGTAGTTGCTTAGCAGCCTGAATGGGGGTGCGGGTGGGGCCTAAGACAGCTCTCAGGACAAGATCGACTAGGAGGAGGCAGCCTGCAGCCTGCCTGGCATCACCTGCAGAGTTCCGAGAACCACAGGCCGGGCATTGCTCAAAGGCGTTCTCAGGCCGACAGGCCTAAGCCCTTGCAGAAGCAAACAACCCCCCTCCCCCCAACTCCCCTTAGGGAGGTACCCTCATTATGGGCCTCGATTTATTCCTATATATAAATTTTTCAAATATGTAAATCCAACACACAAAGAAACACAATAGCAGGAGTGAGAACAGTCAAAACAAATGGCAACAAACAGACTTACAAACTTTGAAATACTGTACTATCAAACACAGTCTCTCGGGCAACCATGCCTAGTATGTTCAGAGAAACTACAGACAAGCTTGAAAATTTCAGCAGCAAAGTACCGCTGTTTTAAAGATTTGAAAAAAGAAATGAATGGAAGTTCTAGAGCAATGATCCTGACCATGTAGAGTCCAGTGGGCAAGGGATTGAACTTGGGAGAAGTGTGGGGACACTGGCTCCATCTTCCAATAATGATAAAGGGAAACAGGTCGTTTTCACAACAGGGTGAGTATTCACTGTACAGGCTTGGCAACAAGAATGAAGATACCGTTAGCTAGACACAAGCATGCAGGCTCCTAAGTCCTAACAGGTGGTGGTGGTTGGGTGGACAAGCTCTCCAGAGTGAGTTTATAAAGAGAAAAGAACAGGACCCTTACCCTGGCTGGTTTGGCTCCATGGATAGAGCGTTGGCCTGCGGACTGAAAGGTCCCTGGGTCGATTCCAGTCAAAGGCACATGCCCGGGTTGCGAGCTCAATCCCCAGTGTGGGGTGTGCAGGAAGCAGCCAATCGATTCTTTCATCATTGACATTTCTACTTCGCTCTCTATCTCCCTTCCTCTCTGATTTCTATCAAAATATATTCAAAATAAATAAATTTTAAAAAGAAAGAATAGGACCCACACCCAATCTCATCCTTCTCCATGCCCACAGGTGTGGAGGCGCCTCCTGTGGGTAGCCCTCTGGCCGCCCCTGAATATGAGCCTCACCATTGTAAGGTGAGGGCACCTGCAGGGCACTTCCCAGCATGTTGGCTGTGAGACTCCTGGGTGAGGACAGGGATATTCAGTCGCCTCACGAAGGCTGTTTGCTTCCCACCCTGTCAGCGGTTCTGAACTCCAGTGATGCTAGAAATAACCAGCGTCTCTGCACCGAGCAGCTGTGCCACATCCCGCTCCCCCGCTCCCGCCCTCAGCCCCCTCCACAGCTGCTATCTTTAAGCCACCAAGCAGACGAGAGACAAACAAAATTAGTCATCCCAGATCCTGCCCAATTTCCCCACAAAGGGCAATCTGGGTAGGAAACAAGGGCTTTAGAAGCCGGCGGGCACCTACGGGTCTGAAAGACTTGAAGACTTTTTCCAAGACTTCCGGGAGCGTCTTCTTGCCGCAGGAGGAGATGTAGTCCTGTGCTAGCTGCAGGAAGGGCAGGCAGTCCTCGCTCTCACTCCACACGTGCTGGTGCCCAGGGGCGAGGGAGAGGAGAAAACAGACACAGTCATTACACACAGTGCGGGTCCAGAGAGCCAGGGAGAACTTTATCAGCACGGGGACGGGAAGCAGGCCTCCCTTCCGGAGTGAGATGCATGTGGTCACTGACTTGTGTGTTCGGAAAGGGATCAGAACATGCAGACCCTGTTGCCCGGCCAGTGTGGCTGGGTGGCTGAGCATTGACCTATGAACCAGGAGTCATGATTCAATTCCCCGTCAGGGCACATGCTTGAGTTGTGGGATCGATCCCCAGTGTGGGGCCTGCAAGAGGCAGCTGATCAATGATTCTGTCTCTTCACTGATGTTTCTATCTCTCCTATCTCTCCTTCTCCCTCTCTGAAATCAATACACACACACACACACACACACACACCGGTGTATATATATATGCCAAGTGACTGCAATGCCAGAATGACTGGTTGCTTTGACACGCACTGCGGCCCCAATCGACCGCCCTCCCCCCAACTGGTAGCAGGGCTGGCCGGCCAATCTCCCACATCCCCTCCCCCCAGCCAGGTTGGAGCAGGCCGGCCGGACCCCACCCGTTCACGAATTCGTGCACTGGGCCTCTAGTAAAAATATATTTAAAAAAAAAGAAAATGCAGACCCTGAGCTCCTGGTCCATAATCTCAGCTGCTCAATTCACAACAGATCTGCTCATGCATCGTAAAAAGGGCAGTGGGGTCAGCAGCCCTCACCACGATGTCCACTGCCCACCCTTCCAGTGCGGGCCGAGGGCGGCTTTCAGCCAGGAGGGAGCAGAAACTAAGGGCCTGTATGACCCCTGACTTTGCCTTCAGCCGTGGCTGAAGGACTAATTAGACAGAGTTTGTAACCACTACCTTGGAACAAGACATTCTTTACCCAGGTTAGCCTGTGAGCGAGGGTGATGGCAAATTTATTTCAAAATGAAATGAGTTTACGAGAACACACAGAAAGGTCATCGCTCAGTCACTGGGGGTGAGGGTAAGGGGAGTGGGGTGGGGAGAAGACCTCTGAAAGTTCACCTTCCCTTAAAATGCTTTAAAAAAGCTCACACCCAAGCCTCACCCAGAGGAGACTGGCTCTAGGTTTTACATTTTTCTTAAGGCTAGACGAGTTTTCCTTTCTTCTTCTTCTTTTTTTTTTTTTTAATCCATGTGAGGATATCCATTTTAGCACACCTTTAGGACTAGACAAGTCTCCCATAAATGTCCCAGGATTTGGAATAAGCCCAAGAAACGGGCGGGAGAGATCTAGATGAGGAAGCGACAGGCCATGGCTACCAGGGTAACGTCAGGCTACGTATCAGTTATCAAACATCGCTGTTTAGAGGGGATCAACTAATGACATCTCGACACTGGTTTTAAAAAGCATAGAAGGCCCAGCCGGCACGGCTCAGTGCTTGAGTGTTGACCTATGAGCGAGGAGGTCACTGTTTGATTCCCGGTCAGGGCACGCGCCTGGGTTGTGGGCTTGATCCCCAGCAGGGGCTGTGCAGGAGGCAGCTGATCAATGATTCTCTCTCACCACTGATGTTTCTCCCTCTCCCTCTCCCTTTCTCTCTGAAATCATAAGGATATATTCTAAGAAGCGCGGAGGTACAGGAAGAGGGAGTCATTGGCAGGTGGGAATAAGCAGCAGCAGCTAAGCAGCAGGAGGTGAGATTTATTTGGAGAAAGGGCCCACATCGAGCCCATGCTTACTCCCTCACATGAACACAAATGACTGGGGCATCACCCCAGACAGTTCACGCCCCTCACTCAACACACACACACTTCACTGTCTCCCTCCCCATAGTGCCATTTCCAAGAACTGGAAAGACAGGCTTCACATACTGGCAGGCCTAAGGGAGACTAACGAGGGGCGAGGGGCCATCCTCACAGCCAATTACGTGTGTTTCACAGAAGCAAAGGCCCGTTTCCCACACACGCTGCCCGGGTCCGGCAGGCTCCCAGGGTAGCTTTTGACTCGACATAATAACGCTGTAACTCCTACATCCTCTAACTTAGAGAGCAGTTCAGACACGGCTCCCCATCAGAGACCCTTAGGGTGGTGGAGCCGCGGAAAAGCCATTTACGGAACAGCCTCTCCCCGGGGACGAAGGCGGGGCAGTGCTGGGCGCTCTCATGTCCATCATCCACCCGGATTCTTAACCGGCGGGGATCCAGCACGAACAAGGAAGTCCACTCTCACGCGTGTCTGCTCAGCACCCAAGTTAACGATGGGGTTACCGTCTAGCATCACCCAGGAAGGAGACCGGGAGCCTGACCTCCATAGACCTGAGGATTAGAGAAAAGGCGACAAGTCTAGGAGGTGCCTGGCACAGTGCCTGGCTGGCAGGCGGAGAAGCCCTTGCCTCTGGAGGGTGCAGGAGAGCAGGGGTGGGAGGGTCCCACCTGCTGCACGGCTAAGGTCACCTGCTGAGCAAATCGGACCCCCACGGCGACCTGTTCAGAAGTAGGTGGGCCGCGGAGGACATGTGTACCCGTTGCTCCCATTACAGAGTAAACTAGGGCCAGGGCGTCGCTCAGGGCCAGCGCACGCCCTCCGCGTGGAAACCGGCCTGCTCTCCGGCGAGGTGGCCTCCGCGCATCTCCACGAGGAGCCGGTTCAGGCCGCAGCTGCCACTGCTCCGCTTCCGGAGTTGTTGGTTTGTGAACACATTTTGGAGTAGGAAGAATTCACACCCACTAAAGGGCCTCCCCTCCAGTCTGCCCCGACTTCTCTCACTCGGCTAACTCACCCTGGATCCCCTGTCGAGCTAGTTTAAAAAAAAACAAAACAGGTTTTACTGAATCCGTGCCCATAGGATAAGGCAAGAGAGCACAGGGTTTGGGAAAAAAACAGACTCAGGTGTACACGGCCCCTCAGAAGACACCACTAACCATTTCAAATCCACTGTCTCTCACAACAGAAGTTTCCGTTTTAACTTTTTATTTTATTTAAATTGTGTTCTTTCCAAACTAACCAAGGCTATCAGCGAAGATCCACGGAGTACAAAACATGATGACCTAAAAAACAGCCTGCAGTGGGAAAACCAGGACAAAGGGGAAACAACGGGAGGAAAAGGAGATAGGATCTGGTGCGATCAGGACACACGGTGCACCGTGGACAGGCCTGGCCGAGTGCTTGAACAGGACACAGCTTTGCCCCCAGCGCCCTGTGGGAAGGCAGATCAGTGCCCAGAGGCAGTGCCCAGGACCAAACAGGGCCTTCAGAACGAACAGGCAAGGGCTGGGGGCAGGATGGCTCCTTCTTAGGAAGAAGAGAGGGACCCATTCCAGCACTAGGGCAGGAAGGGCGTCAGGTGGACAGGCTGATGCTCTGGAATCAGGATGTGGGACTAGTCGTGTCCAGAGACAAATGGGTCACTGAAGGCTGGAGTCCTGAGCCAAGGGCTTGGGCATTCCCCGTAACTGCAGCTCAGGGAGTGTTTGAAGCCCGTGCAACCCAACACCCACTTTGGCCGTGAAAACAGGGGTCAGAGAGCACGTGGCTCTGAACCACGTGCATGGTCCCGGGCACATATAAAAGCCGGCACAGATGTATTGGCTCTCCAATGGGGTCGTGTCACAGCAGGAGGAATGCCAAGTCAGGGCTCCATGAAGGGGAGGGACGCGGGGGTCTCCAGTTTAGGGTGCATGTCACCTGGAGGGTTATTAAAACACAGTGGAATCACCAGGTCCCAGCGGGACTGTCTGATGGGAGCAGGGCTGAGAATCTGCACGCCCAACTGGCCCCCAGGCGATGCTCAGGCGGCTAGATCTGGGGCCACACTTCTTTTTAAAAATATATATATATTTTATTGATTTTTACAGAGAGGAAGAGAGAGCTAGAAACGTCGATGAGAGAGAATCATCGATCAGCTGCCTCCTGCACACCCCTTACTGGGGATGTGCCCGCAACCAACGTTCATGCCCCTGACAGGAATCGAACCCGGGACCTTTCAGTCTGCAGACCGATGCTCTACCACTGAGCCAAACCAGTTTCGGCTGGGGCCACACTTTGAGAGCCGGAAGCTGAGCAGAAATGTAATTAACTTTCAAGGTGGGCTGGGAGGAGGGGGTGGTGTGTGTGTGTGTGTGTGTGTGTGTGTGTGTGTGTCAGCTGAAGCTCCAGAGCAGCCTCTGCCTCCTCACAGATTTCGGCTGTTAGGAGCTGCAAGTTCCCGGAGTGGAGTTGGGAGGGGAGGAGGGGGACCTGGGCTTTGGGACAGGCCCTCTAGGCCCTTCCTTCTGTTATCAGATTGGGCCAGAGTCTATCATCCAAGCTGCCCAGCTTCAGACAATATACCGTGTCCTCTGGAACCAGAAAAAAGAGCTCCTTTCTGCTTTCCGCAGTGTAGACGGCAATATCCAGCGTCCCCAAAAATGGTAAGAGAAGATCAAGGTCATTCACTCCTACAGTGACCTTCTCCAGCACCCGGGCCTTGCCACCGGCCTCACGCTCACTGTGGTCCTGACTGGAGAACTTCCTGGTGTCAGCAGTAACAGGGGACCCATTTTGAGTTTTGGCAGCTTCATCCCAAATAAACGGCGGTCCCCAGAAGAGATGGCATAAGAGAAAGGCCGGGAGCCATCTCAGGCATGTCCCTCCTTAACGATGTGACCGAGTAACCACCGTTCGATTCTGGAGGAGACAGAGCTTGTTGAAAGGGATGGCATTGTGTTTACATGGCGGGAGAGCGAGGAGAAAGCACTTCCTTGGCTAATTTAACCTCTACCCTCGGACATGCAGACTTCTGCACAGGGTGGGAAGAGCAGGGCTGGCCGTACCCAGGACCTGCTCCTGATGTCAGCCAGGGAGGTTCCTGAGGCCCAGGGAGCTTACGCAACTTGTCTGTGATCCCACAGGGAGCAGGGGCAGAGTCAGGACATCACTGGGTGTGCATGCCTTCAGCCTCAACTCCTTCGCTGCAAGACACAGAAAACATGGAGACTCCCAGGAAGGTTAAAAAGGTCATGGGAGCCGAAACCAGTTTGGCTCAGTGGATAGAGCGTCGGTCTGCAGACTGAAAGGTCCCAGGTTCGATTCTGGTCAAGGGCATGTACTTTGGTTGCGGGCACATCCCCAGTCGGTGGTGTGCAAGAGGCAGCTAATAGATGATTCACTCTCAACTATGTTTCTAACTCTCTAACTCTCTCTCTTCCTCTCTAAGAAATCAATAAAATATATTTTTTTAAAAAGGTCATGGGAGAGACCCAGCAGACTGACTCTCATTAGCAGGCATCCAATCAGTATCTATTCACATGGATCTGAACTCACATTAGCATAACCTTATCCTCCCCAGAATTAACCAGGCTGCACATATAAGGAAAGAAGGACATCTCCTTGTTCCTGAAACAGTCTCTCTATACAGATGCTCGCCCACTGTGGACAGCTCTGTAGTCTACCGCTATCCCCTTAATCCTCTCCATAATAACGCAATGCAGATGTGATTACCCCCACCTGACAGATGAGGAAATGGAGGGTCGAGGTTAAGTTAGACAAGGGCTTTCTCTCCGCTACCACCCCTCTTCTCCATGTAAACACAGGGCCTTCTCATTCCAACAAGTTCTACTTTCTCCAGAACCGAAAGGTAGTTACTTGGTCACATAGTTGAGGAGAGACATGCCTAGAAGGAAACGGAGAAAACAATACAGACATAGCCACACACACACACACACACACACACACACACACACACACACATAAAGCGACGTTCGTTTTCTACAAATAGACTCCTTTAATACTATGACAACTGCGGCCTTTGTTTTTGTACCGAGGAGGGAGGGACTCAACTCTACAGCGTTTTAGATCCAGACATGTGTTGATGGGCTGACAGAGAAAGTAGGGCAAGGGAGGAGCTGCTCCTCGGCCCCGTCATTAGTGCCCAGGCCCCGGGCAGGCGGGGGGCAGGGCAGGAGACAGCGGAGGGGCTGCCTACGGTGCCCACCTACTCAAGGGCCCCTCAGTCAGGCTGGTACATTCGTGGCCACCAACACCCTGCTCCTCAAACCTGGCAGCGCCCTCGGGACTTTCTGAGTTCGCAGAAGGGGGCCCGTGCCACCTGTCAGTGATCCCCCGGGCCCCTCCCATTTGGGGCCGGGCAGAGTCAGCTTGTCCTTGAACCTGCAGCTTCGTTTTATCCCAGGGCCTGACCTCACGGGCCATCGGCAGGGAGAGGCGCGAACCAGGGCAGCGGTTCGGAAAGGGACAGCGTGAACTGGGTGGCCTGTGAAGCGAGAAAGGGACAGAGTGCACAGGGGACCCGGGTGCTGCCAACGCGGAGGGAAATAAAAGGAAGTCCTTGTTCCCAGGCCGAGGGAGCGCCTGGCCTTGATCCTGCCCGTGGGACACTCCGCGGGGGGAAAGGACAGCCTCTGGGCTTGGGCTCAAGTCCCGGCTCTGTCACTTCTTAGAGGCCCGGTCTCCACGAGCCCCCGCACTCACTGAGCCTGTTTCCTCGCCTGTGACGTGGGGAGAAGACGGCCTTCCTCATGGAATGTTTAAGAGGCTCCAGAAGCCGCCCTTGAACCCAGCCTGGACTGGGTCCCCAGCTGTTACTCATGCGCTGCTGTTTTCCGAGTTTTAGGGCTATGCTTCAAGGTGCTCCGCCTCTTAACAGCTGTGGGGCATTAGTTAGCCCCGCTGTGCTTACGTTTCCTCATCTGTGCAGTGGAGACAATTAAAAAGCACCTTACAGATTATGAAGAGTCAACAGGTTCATCTATGGGAAGGATGAGAGCACTGTCCGATACACAGAAAACTGCACATCAGGGGTAGCTGTTCCTGGTTTTTGATGCTGTCCTTCTTGAAATTTAACATCTGCCCTAGACGGACGTTCGTTCATTCTTATAAACACAGACGGAGCACCTGCGCATGTCTGACAGTGCTCCGAGTTCAGGGGTGCAGGGGTGACCAAGAACACAAGGTCATGGCTCTGAGGGGGCTGATGAGTCCAGGGCGGGGGGGAGGCAGAAAAGAAACTGTTTACTTGAGAGAGACTGTGAAGGACTAACCAGTGCTGTGGTGAGACTAGAGAAGGTGAGGGGCTGTGCTGTCAGGTTGAGACCGGAAAGGAGGCAAGAGACAGGTCACGAGTGGGCTTGAAGCCGGGCTAGGTCAGTGGTCGGCAAACTGCGGCTCACGAGCCACATTCAGATCTTTGGCCCCTTGAATGAGGCTCTTCCACAAAACACCACGTTTTTTAGCAAAGGCCAGCTTAGGAGTACCCTAATTAAGTTAATAACAATGGACCTACCTATATAGTTTAAGTTAAAAAAAAAAAATTGGCTCCCAAAAGAAATTTCAATCGCTGTCCTGTTGGTATTTGGCTCTGTTGACTAATGAGTTTGCCGACCACTGGGCTAGGTGAGGTGGAGAGGGCTGGGGGCATGACCTGGGTTATATTTTAAATAGATCTGGAGACCCTGCAGAGTCACCCCATGTTAGGCACTTTTCCAAACAGCTGGCGAGTAAGCTACGAGTATTGCTTCCCAGTTTTACAGCGGTGGGAATCCTGGCGTAGAGATGAAATAACTTCCCCTAAGGCATGAAGTTAGATGTGGGGTGGCTGGGGTGCAAACCCAAGGAACCTGACTCCAGAGCCTGCACGCTCCTAACCACTCACCAACCCTATCTTAGGCGGGGAATGAGGGCCGAGACCCTATTCGTACTCCAGGCAGCCCTGGCCTGGCGCAAAGTAAGCCCCCCACACGTTTGTTGAACGAACGATGTGAACACACTCTGTACATTGAGTAAGAAATCCTTCAGGTTTTAGGAATTCCAACCATCTCAAGTTCCTTTCAGTGCTGAGCAGACTTTCCTGGGAAAGGGAACCCAGTGCAGTTAGGACATGTACTTGGTGCCCGAGGCCCTTTACCTAGAGGCACACAGCGGCTCCACGGAGCTGGCCTGGGCAGGCCGGAGAGAGGCCTGCGCTAAGAAAACGCCTTCTGTTGGCATCTGGTCCCCGAGGGCCTCTCGGAACTGAGAAAGGAAGTCCCTTTCCCTCTTCTTTCTTCCTCGTCTATTTCATTTCATCGACAGCGAATGAATACAGTCAAGCACCTTCCTTGCCCAGGTGGGAAAACATTTAACATACGGGCGGTCTTGAAAAGGCCTGATACGCACAGTGTTTCTGAATGGCTCGAGGTACACATTCAAGACAAGAGAACGGCCTTGCACTGCCTCCACCCGCTTCATCTCCCCGGAGTAATCTATTTGGGCGGCCTCCTTCAGTCCCAGCGGGAGGCCGTGCGGACTGCTCCCCATAAAACCCAGAACCTCCAGTCGCCTGCCCTGGGTCACAGTGAGGAGGGAGAGGCCGCTGGCGGGTAAGGAAGTGCAGGCTGGGAGGGACTCCTAGCATGGCAGTCAGTTGGACCCCGGTGCCTTTGCCACGGGATCCCTGGGGCCTCCTCTCACTCTGACAATGGAGCAACCCCCCTTTAATGACTGGCACTCCCCCAGTAACAAATAACACTCATTCTACTATCCACAGTGAGTGTGCTTCCATATACTTATAGCTTCCTTGCTCTTCACACGTTCCTGTGAGGAGGCACCCTGACTTACTTCACGTGAGAAGTGAGAACACTGAATGTCTTTAAAAAAGCAAGGCAAGCCCTAGCTGGCTTGGCTCAGTGGACAGAGCGTCAGCCTGCGGGCTCCATCCCCAGTGTGGGGGAGGGGGCTGCAGGAGGCAGCCAACCAATGATTCTCTCTCATTGCTGGTTCTATCTCTCTCTCCCTCTCCCTTCCTTCCTCTCTGAAATCAATAAAAATAAAAAATAAAAAAAAATTTTTTTAAAGAGATACAAGCTTTAAACTCAAGGGACCCCAGATCCAACCTCTGATCCAAACCTGTGAGGCCCTGGCTGTGAGTGGGAACTGTCAGGTGCTTTATCTACCCAGCCGCCTGGGCCCTGGCTTTATACCCATTTTCTGGATGTGTAAACTGAGCTGAGTGATGGCAACTGACCCAGGTCACAGGGCCAGAACTCAAATCTGCTGTCACCCAAGGACATCCCTCTTCCAGAGTGTCCAGGGCTGGGGCCCAGATGGGTTCTTCCCGGCTGCAGGGTGGGTGGAGGGGTGGGCGGGGCCTGCTTTATGGCCAGGGCCACCTCTGGGATGAGAAAGGGGATCACGCTATCACGGGGGAAGGGGGGGGGGGGAATAGGCGTGTCCTTGAGTGCGTGTGTGTGTGTGTGTGTGTGTGTGTGTGTGTGAGAGAGAGAGAGAGAGAGAGAGAGAGAGAGAGAGAGAGAGAGAGAGAGAGAGAAAGTATGTCTGTTCTTCAGGTCCGGGGTGTAATTCCACCAAGAAGGTCCAGGCGATGGGCACCGCCGGTGCGCACAGAGGCTTTGTGTCCAAACCCCGCGGCGCAGGGGCCACCGGGGAGAGGGGAGCGGGCGGTTCCCCAGGCGGGGCCGCTCGTGTCGGCGCCTCGGGAGGGACAGCGTTCCTCACCCGGAGGGACGGGGCGAGGGGGTGAGGAGGCTCGGGCCTCTGGATCCCGCGGGAGGGCCGTGAGCTCGGGCCGGGCCGGTGCGACGCGGGACGCCCTGGAGCCGCTCCAAACCGAGCACCGCGCACGGGCCTGGGGGTCGCGTCCCCGAAACAGCCGCCCGCAGCCCGGCCGGCCCCCCGGGAGCTCAGGGCGCCCTGCCCGCCGCCCGGCCGGCCCCCCGGGAGCTCAGGGCGCCCTGCCTGCCGCCCGGCCGGCCCCCCGGGTGCTCAGGGCGCCCTGCCCGCCGCCCGGCCGGCCCCCCGGGTGCTCAGGGCGCCCTGCCCGCCGCCCGGCCCCCCGGGTGCTCAGGGCGCCCTGCCCGCCGCCCGGCCCCCCGGGAGCTCAGGGCGCCCTGCCTGCCGCCCGCCGCCCGCCCGCCCGGAGCCGGGCCCGGAGCCGGACCCGGAGCGGCGGGTGCGCCTCCCGCCCCGCGCCCGCAGCCTCCCCGGGGACGCGGCCCTCCCGCCCGCACTCACAAAAGTGTCCCCGCAGCCGCCGTCCGGGCACAGCACGTAGAAGGAGACGCCGGGGTCGGCGTAGAAGTCCATCCTGCGCTCCGTCTCCTCCGCGGCGATGAGCTCGAAGGGCGTGCGGGAGCACCACTGCGCCGCGGCGTCCGCCAGCTGCTGGAAAGCCATCCCGCCGCCTCCCGCTTCTCCTCCGCCTCCCGCTTCTCCTCTGCCGCCCCGCGCTCCTGGGCTCCTCCGGCGGCGGCGCGGCTCCGGGGCTCCGGGGCTCCGGGCGCGGCGGGGCCGGGGGCGCAGATCCCGGGGCGGCTCCTCCCGGCGGCGCTGTTTACACGCGGTGTGTAACGGCCCGGCCCCGCCGCGCCCGGCTCCGCCCGGCTCCGCCCCGGCCCGCCCCCGCCCCTGCGGGCCGCCCGGGAGGCTGGGAGGCTGGCACGGGCCGGACGGCGCGCTCCGCGGCGGGGCGGGGCGGCCGGGAGCTCCGCGGGCTCCCCAATACCCCCCCACCTTTTGAATAAAGGAACCCGGAGCCTCCCGGGGCCCGGGGCGAGGCTGGGGCCACCCGGGCCGTGACGTCACGGGCGCCAGCCAATCCCGGCGCCGGAGGCCCGCGTCCCGGTGGCGAGTGGGGTGATGTCTCCGCGCGGCCGAGGCTCCCCGGTTCCAGGGCCGCGGAGGAAGCGGGCGGTCCCCGTGGCCGCTTCTCTGGGGTGAAAAGGCCAGGGAAGCGCTTTCAGGAAAGCAGTTTGAATGCGGGGACGTCCTCGGCATCGCAGATAACGGGCCCTTGTCTGAGGCTGCGGTGGAGGAGCCGGGGAAACCTAACGGGGCGCTGGTCTTTGTCAGAATCCACGCGCGGCCCTCCGATGGCGGTAAAGAAAGGTTTCCCCCAAATACTCCGACTAGACACCGATCCGAGCGTCCATTTGGAGAGGAAAAGGACCCCTCTTCCTCCCCCCCCACACACACCAGCATAAAGCTGAGTATTTCTTAGAAATAAGCCTCACGAGACTGTCCGGACTGTTATTATTCAGCTTCACTTCGTAGTGCATAACCTAAAACGCTGCGCTGCTGGTTCGGAGAGCAGAAGTGCATTCTAAAACGGGAGTACGTGCCCCACGGCTGCACCTGTTGAATGCTCGCCGCTGCCCGGACCCCACAGGCATTGCTGGATTGCGGAAAATGCGCTGGAGAGAGCCCGCGCCCGCAGGCATTGAATGACTACGGGCAATGACACTTAAATAGCATTCATTCTATCAATACAAACATTCCACCAGCCTTTATTTTTAAAGTTTGTCCTCTGAACCAGGCGCCGTGCTAGCCATAGGGATATAAATATGAATAATATGTGGCTCCTCCCTCAAAGGCTAGCAGATTCGGCAAGGAAAGCTCATGACTTATGAACCCATTTGAATACACCATTTACTCAATAGTATAGATGTCATTGCACATTTCTGGAATAGGAATTATTTTTTTTTAAATATGTTCTTACTAATTTTAGAGAGAGAGGAAGGGAGAGAGATAGAGACAGAAACTTCGATGAGTGAGAAACATCAATTGGCTGCCTCCTGCATGCCTCCTAGTGGAGTTGGAGACCGAACCCCGGCCCTGACCCAGAATCGAACCAATATTCTCTTGGTTCAGGGGTGGATGCTCAATCACTGAGCCACACTGGCCAGACTGGAATAGGAATCCTTTTCTCCTTGACTTACCTTAATAAATCAGAGCTGCCTTCCTACAGCGAACTGAGGTATGTACCCTTGACGGGAATAGAACCTGAGTCCCCTAGTCATTGGGCTAATGCTGTGTCCACTGAGCCAAGATGGCCAGGGTGGGGCCTGGTTTTTTGCCATCAAGGAATTTATAGACTGTAGACTCTGCAGGACTCTAAGACCACCAAGGTCCCTGCCCTCCTGGTGTACACATTCTCCCCCATTATTCAATCAAACACTAATTTATAATGTCAACAATAAAAAATAAATTAAAAACACACTAATCTAGATACCGCTCTGAGGGATTTTCCCCATTTAATTAAGATCTCAAATCAACTGACCTTAAGAGAGGGAGACTGTCCTTGGTGGGCCTGCCCTAATCAGGCGAGCCCTTAAGAGGAATCAGGCTCTTCCTGGAGAGGTTCAAAGCACCAAGTGAATTCACTATGAAAAATAGATGCTCCACTAATGGCTTTGGGAGGGACCATCTGGCAAGGACTAGAGAGCACAGTCTCGGATCTGAGAGCAACAGCCAGCAAGGAAAGGAGACTTCAGTCGTAACTACAAGGAAATGATTCTTTCAAAGACCTGAATGAGCTTCCCAGTGGCTTCTCCACGGAGCCTGCAGACCGGGGCTCAGGCTGACTGACACCATGATTTCAGCCTGGGGAGGCCCTGAGCAGAAAGCCCAGTTATGCTGTGGCTGAGCCAGAACTTCTGACTCACAGAGCAGGGAGCTAAGTGGGCGTTGTCTGAAATTGCTGCTTGTTTTCATTTGCCAGGCAGCAGAAAACTAATACATAGGACAAAGGAGGAGGCAGGCACATGACTTAAAAAGTTCAACATGCTACTGAAAGGTTTCCAAATGCTTCTTTCTCTTCCTTCCTTCCTGTCTTTTAACAGGAGGACCTCAAGATAGAGCAAGCTTCCTGCAATCTTACCTTGTGTCAAAGCATACACAGTAGTCTGGAAGCTCCAAAAATGAAGAGATGCCTTACATTTGAGACTAAAATACAGAAACTATATAGCTTTTCTCTTTCTCTTTCTTTCTTTTCTCTCTCTCTCTCTCTCTCTCTCTCTCTCTTTTTTTTTTTTTTTTTTTTTTTGAAAATGGGGAGTTCAAAAAAAATAGTGTTTTTAAACCCATCGATCAAATTTGCTTCAAGGGATGGGTGACCATAATTACAGTCATATTTATTCAACAAATGTTTCTTGTCAGAAGATGAAAAATCCTCATGATGAGAAACAGGATTCCGGGCATAATGCCATTGCTCCAAGAATTGAAGGAATGCTGCGATTTCCTTAGAAAGGTATTACGTTCAAGAACAGACATTATGGCTGCGGCCATATTGATCTGGCACCTCGACTCCATGCTGTGCCACTCCCTTGCTCTTACTTTCGGCTGACATAGCATCTGAGCATGCTCCCTCCTTCTAACACTTTCATTGCCTTCTTTCCGTACAGTGCACGGAACTCCCTCTTCAGCCGCAGCTCACCGTTGCTGCGGGAGAGACACGGACTCCCAGATGGCAGGACAGCCGTTGGAGCCTCCTCCTCTGCTGGCCTGGCAATGAAGGTTACAGAGCCGCCTCTCCCATCGGCCTCCTGAGGCCCCTCAGGACCCAGCAGTATCAGCTCGCCCCCTGGAGGGGGTCCCAGGGGCACAGGCAGCCCTGGAGCTCCAAGGAGGGTGTGTATTCCTTTGGGAACAGGCGTGTTTTCAGGTCATTTGCTAAACCAGAAGCTGCTGCTGTTCTATGAGCGGGCTGACTGCTTGTGATACATACGTCCCCTGGCTGGGCAAGCGGCTGATGGGAGGGTGCTGCTAAGACTTGAGACAGTGGACTGGGTGCTAGAAAGACTTTACGTCATGGCTGTGCAGTTTATTAACTGCACGATCTTGGAAAGGTTGCTTGGCCCCTGTGAACCTTCATTTCCTCATCTGCAAAATGGGTTGAAGGTCTGTATGTTGTGAACTTGTAAGAGACTCTGAGAAAATAAACGTGAGTGTGTGCATAGTAGACGATGCAAAGAACCAACAAGTTTTTAAAAATGTGAGAAATTTGAGTATATAATCTATATCTATATCTATATCTCCAAGGTTCTTGTAATAGTGGTTGCCTCTAAGGTATAAATTTTAGGTATTGTTAAATCAAGGGCGCATGTTAACAGGTTGAAGGTGTATCAGTGAGAAGTTGCATTGAGCTAATAATAAAGTGTTGACTAAAATGACTGGACAAGGTAGAAGTTTGCTAGGCTACAGAGAGGTTAAGAAACAGAAAAGGGTTCACTTATACAACCAGAGTACAGAACATTGAAACAACATCAGCAACCTTCCCCCAGAAAATGCAATGGAAGTTCCTCGGGGGTTCGTACGTAACGGATTCCTGTTCCCTGGCCTTGGGGAGCTCACCTCTGGACTACAAACAGTCCTGGAGATACGACTGTCCCCCGGGATGTCTGGAAGCCATCCGAGAGATGCTGCCCCGCGCAGGAGCCCGTGCCCGAGGCGACGTCTCGGAAGCGTGGAGGGTGTGAGTAACTGGGATCGCCCTTCTCTGCAGCGGGGACCCCGAGACCATCCTTCTTGGCTGAGAACAGAACCTGGCCTGCAGCTCACGGCAGAGCCTTCGCCCGCCCTACAAGAAACCAGCGCCACCTGTGATTGGCAGGGTCCCCACGTGGCTGTGGTTAGTCTGCGGCTGGCAATCCTCACATGTACAAAGTCTGATGAGGGGTGCAAACAAGAATGACGCAACAAGGAAACGTGGTTGTATCTATGAAATGCAAAGAAGGATAACTAAGCCCTTCCAAAATAAACAAACAAACAAACGGAAACTGTCTCTAGGATAATGACTAAGTTTATATCGAAAGAAACCTGATTCATAGAAATAGAGAAACATAATTTTATAAAGGAGAAAATCTTGAAGCATAATCTACTAAGAATATACTAAGAATATCAGGTACGGAGATCAGGAATGGGACCTACGCATATGTCCATAAAATGCCAGAGGAACGCCTGATCTGCACCCCCATTGAAAACCACTGGCCTAGAAGATAGTGGACTCCAATTAAAGAAGCACACCTGTGGCCAGGCCAAAGTAACATGTTACGTAACAATTGAAATGACGGAGAGCACTACACCGCTGTCACCATACTGCACTGTCTGACATCAGGCAAAGCGTTGCCAGGATTCTGATAAATACAGAAAAACACAACACAACTAGTTCATAAGGGTTTTGATTGTAGTGTTTTCCTTGAGGGTCACAAGAGTTCGTGGACAGACAGGGCACTGACAAACATCCAGGGTCTTCCTAGTGAGTGTGCCACTTCAGAATTTCTATGGCGATGCTTTATCAATACCAGTTCACCAGGGGAAGCTGAGCTTGCCTTCCGATCTGACGGCAGTTCTCCTGAGCTCCTCCAATAGCAGGAGACAAACCTCCCCCCTCACGGTATTCGGTGGAAGAGCAGTCTCCGTGATTCCCAGGTCCCTCTAGGAGACCACAAGATTGCTGTAGGTGTAAAAAGTACCTTG